ATAAAGCACATTTGCCATCGTGTCTTCGTGCTTGCATCCTCCTTCGCACACTGACCTTGTCAGCTTTAGTCCGGGTTCTTGTGGAGTCTTTACTGGATTGCTGTTTTCCATGCCAAATTTTTCGAGGATGTTCTTCGCGAATTTGGACTGACGAATCGAGATCGTGCCAACCGCTAAAATTTGATCAACTTTTATACCGAGAAAATACTTGAGGTTTACCAAATCCGTCGTGTAAAATCGATCACTTTGTGCCTTCTTTGTTGACTCAAGCAGCTCATCGTTGTTGCTCGCGAGAACCAAATCGTCGACGTATAGTGCTACAAAAATCATGTCTTGATCAGCTCCCTTGACATAGATGCATTCATCTGTTTCACATTTCTCGAGTTCCAGCATGAACTTGTCGATGGTTTGGTTTTACATCCGTGGTGACTGCTTCAGACCGTACAGGGAGCGCTTGAGCTGACAAACAAAGTCCGGGTGATCATCATCGACGTGTCCATCCGGCTGCACCATGTAAATGTCTTCGTCCAGGAGTCCGTTGAGAAACGCTGTCTTGACATCCATTTGGTACACCGACAAGCTATACTTGACTGCTAGGCTGAGCAAAATTCTGATTGACATGAACTTGGCCAGGGCGCGAAGGTCTCGTCGTAGTCGATACCACGCTTCTGAGAAAAACCTTTGGCCAAGCGCGCTTTGAACCGCTCAACTTCCCCCGCCTGGTTCTCCTTGACTTGAAACACCCATCGATTACCGATAGCCTTACGGCCTTTTGGTAGCGGTACAAGGTCCCAGGTCGTGATTTTGCGAAGAAACTCCATTTCTGAATCGCACTCTTCTTTCCACTTGAATGCGTCACTAGATTCCATCGCCGACTTAAACGTCGTTGGTAGATCTCCTACGATATCCACGACGTAGGCAGCCTCAAAGTCATAACTTTCGTGAGCCACCACAGATGTCTCGACCAAACCTTGATACTGACTTGCTCGTTTTGCCCTTGAAATATCGACCGCTTCTTCCAGTGATCGTGTGCGTTGGTGTAGTTTGCTTCCAGATTTGACGTCGTATTCCAAAACATTATCTTCTTCTTTGTTGGAACACGATGAGTCTTCATCCAGTGAACCTTCTTCATCTTCTAAGATTACTTCGGCTTGAACGTAGTCGCGTCTTCCGCTGTCGAAGACGTCTTCCATAAACTGTGCGTCGCGGCTGACCAGCACACGACCACTCTTGATCTCTTCGAATCGATACGCTTTTTCGTGATCAGCATATCCCATGAACCGACAGAGCACCGATCGAGCGTCGAACTTAGACCGCTTTTCCTTTGGAACATGCACATATGCATGGCACCCAAACAATTTCAAATTCGCAAGTAAAGGTTTCTTCGCGGTCCAAGCTTGATGTGGCAAATTGTCATGACGTGTAGCACGGGTTGGGCAGCGATTGCGCAAGAAGTTGGCAGTCATAACTGCTTCTCCCCAATACGATTTCGTCAGTCCAGCATGTTCCGTCATACAGCAGGCGCTTTCCACCAATGTTCGATTCATCCGTTTGGTGACACCATTCAGTTGAGCAGTGTGCGGCGGCGTAAATTTCTACACATTGCCACGGTCCGCACACAGCTTGAACATCGCACCGAAGGTGTATTCGCCACCAATGTCACAACGAAGAAGCTTCATGCGTTTGCCAGTCTGGGTTTCCGCCCACGCGACGAATTCTGCAAATTTAATCGCTACTTCAGTCTTGTTCTTGGGTAGAAATACCACACAATAGTGTGAGTATTCGTCAATAAAAAAACGTAACAAAATAACGTTTGCCACTGTAGGTAGGGGTTTGCATGGGCCCACACACATCACTGTGAATGACCTCAAGCAACTTTTTTGCTTGATCAGGTGCCTTTGGCATATAGCTCACTCGCATTTGCTTGCCAAGTGCACACCCGCTGCAAGTCTCCCACTTGTTCACCGATGCCAAGTCAATGCCGGTTCCATAACCTTTCTTGACCATGGCTTCAAGTCCTCCTTGGCCAAGATGACCAAGAAGATGCCAGAGAAACGACTCGGTACCCCTTGTACAATCATTCGAACTTGACACGTTTGCCTCGTCAGACGCTTCTAGCAACATGCGGAGCTTGAACAGTCCTTTGCCTTTGCGAGCACCGAGCTTCCGCTTAACACCCTTTGTCTCCGCGAAGCATCCGTTAATTTCGAAAGTGACTGTCCCGACGTCCTTGGCGAATCTTCCCACCGAGAACAGATTGCGCGATAACTTTGGGCTGTGTCACACGTCCGTGAGCACACCTTTCTTGGTCCCGCGTGGCATTTTCATTGACATTTCAATGTCGCCCTTTCCGATAGCTTGAACGACGCCATCGTCTGCCAAGTGCACATCGACCGGATCGAAAACCTTGTAGTTTTTCATGAACTTCTTGGAACTCGTCATGTGCTGCGTCGCACCCGAGTCGACCAGCCACACGTTACTCGACTTAGCGACTTCACCAACAACCGAAAACAGATATTCACCAAGATCTTTATCTTGCGCACGTTTGCACGCTAAAATAGATGTCGTCCCGCGTCTTCTTGGATCCGCGAGGGGCACTACGCGTACCAATGTCCTTGTTTCCTACACTTGTGCACGCACCAATCTTCTTCACCGGTCGTCCGTTTCGCTTGTTGTCTCTTGACATGAACGCTTGAGCTTGAACATGCACGTATCCCTCGACTCCGCCGCCTTGCTCCTTGCGCTTTAGGTCTTCATGCATCAACCGAGACGTCACTAATTCCCATGTCAGCGAGTCGGATCTTGTCCAGCGCCGTTATCAGAAAATGTCGGACTCGCTGAGACTAGTTAAAAGCGTGATGACCAAGTCGTCTTCGCTGACCGGAGCACCAACCGCGTCGAGTTGCTCCGCCAGGGTCTTGAGCTTGTTGATATGCTTTAGCACGTCATCACCTTCTTCCATCATTGTCGTGAAGAAACGGCGACGAAGAAATAGCTTATTGGCCAAGCTCTTCTTCTCGTAGTGTCCCTCCAGACGCGACCATGCATCATACGCGTTCTTCGACGAGCGCACTAGTGGAAACTGCGAATCCTCCATCGCGAGACAGATTATCGCCAGTGCCTTTTTTTTTTGCGCGACTTCCTTTTGAACGTTGCTTGGTCCAATGTCGTCACGCAGTGCTCAAGCTTCACCTCCCCACTCACGACATCCCACAAGTCGCGCTCCTCCAGCACCATCTGCATCTCGAACTTCCACGTGTGTAAGTTTGTTTCGGAGAACTTGTTGATGCGGGCGGCGGTGGTGATCGACATGGCGTCCATGGCGAAGGCGTGGTCGAGGTCTTGGGCAGGCTTGGGCTCATAACCTAAAGTTGTTGGTCAAACCTGGTAAGATGCAAAGTGAATATATGTTAGGTGCTTTGTTCGCAACTTTTCTTGCTACTCTAAGCCTACTAGATTCTTTGACTGTACAACAGTAATCGACACTACGCGCATTACTCGTTGTGAAGTCGCGCATGAGCAATCGACCCTTTACACATTACTCATGAGATAGGCGCACAAATAACTCCCAGACCGTACCTTTCGTGTGTCGTTGTCTGGCCGAGGCGCATCATCAACAACAGTTTAGAGCTCTTATGTGTACGCTTCTAAATTGGCCCCTTATGAGTAGCAATTATAGCTTTGATTTGCCTTTGCCTCCTTGTGTATTCTCATACGAAAAAAGCCTTAGATATCTATATATCGTATCAAAGTGGCAATGGTAATGGAGATAACTTGCTTAACGTATCATGTCATGGCGTCTTTGAACACAACCGCAAATGCTTGCGCTGGATATGCCTCCACGATGTCGTGTGGTTGTACTGGTTCTCACAAGCACTAGCTTATGATACGTATCTCGTTTATATCGAAGCTTGTCACCGCGCGAGATACCTAACACATGCGCTTCTTGAAAGTTGCGTTCTAACAAAAGCAGATTAATAAGTGGGATTAGTAGTCCTAGTAAAGCCTCAGCCATACAAATTTCCGCTTGCCAATGTTGTTACCAAATGCTTTAGTGCAGAAGGTCGCAACAATCGCTGCGTACAAGCGAGTTGCACTACGAGGAAATTCTTGACGTTGACGCTGTAGTGTCCTGATAATGTGCACGGCATGTGAAGCAACGACACGGATATCAATAGATATAATACAAAGATCTGGATACATTGGTGGACAGATCATTCGGGTCTAGGTCCGAAAGCGTAGTGTCGAATCTTTTGCTCTTCTGTTCTCAACAAGGATAAGTAAGACCCACAGAATAAGGCCGCGTTCATGCTTACGATAACTGCAACATTATAACTTATTGACTAGATGCGGGAACAGCAACGGCAGTCAGCGCAATGCCCACCACGATACAAACTAGAAATCGAATCAACAGCGACTCACGTAAATCCTTCACTGTCGTCGCCGCGCAAGCAGGAACCTTTCCATCACACGTAATAGAAGCGATGTGGAAGAAAGAGCGACGAGTTGCAGAGCTGTAACGGAAAAACGCTTCACTCAAACCATACAAAGCAGACTGCAAACCTCTTCTAAAATAGTAACATACTTGATGAAGCATTCGCAAAGCATTTCCATTTCATCAATCACAGGATTGTCGAGTGCAAACGTCTCTGTTCACGGAATGCGTCGATCTACAATGCCCGACGCAAGACGAATAGAATGCTTTGAGCAAACAATGTCCTTTCATGACGTCCACAAGTGCGAAAATATAAAGCGGGAGGCGCGCTTATTTACGCCAGCGACGCTATCGTCAAATTAAGTCGCTCCAGTATTTTGAAAGACGGGTTTGTTTCTCATGCTAATCGTACGATATGTTATCCACTTTTTGTTGGCGCTGGAAGCAAAATACAATCATACCCAATGACCCTTGGGCATTTGTCTTGTGCATCCCTCAAGTGTCGGTTAACCTCAGAACCACAAATTTTCTCCACTATTTGACTCCGACTCGTCTTAACTCTACTTTATTTCGGAATATCGCATTTTGCGCCAATATCAACAATGCAAATTGAGTCAGACTTTACAAGCTTTGTCAGCGCACTCCGATCAGTCTTTCCTCTTAGCGGCTGTTTGCTTGGATACGCCAAAATGCTAATTTGTGAAGGTGCCACATGAGTTACCTCTTCGACGTCATACAAGAACAAAGCGCACTTCCGCTTTACTTCGTCAAAGCCTCCACTGATAGTGTCCAAATTTAGCTCCATCTTTTTGATCTCCTCTTCTGACTGTCCATTCCTGCGAAGACGCACATATCGTGGGCGATGTCTAGTGCTACTGAAAGAAAAGCGATCCTGAAACTTTTTCATCAGGCCGCCATTGTTGCTTCCACTACTCGAAGAGATTTGGCCTCGATTTCGACTGTCAGCACAAAATGCAACTTCCGAATCACTCCAACTGCTATATCCCGTGCGATTGCATCCATCCGATACTCTTTCCCCGCCATTAATGACACTACGGTGCGCATTTGCGGAGTCGTCATGGTTGTTAGCGAGCGAGAAGCGGGCTAGCTTCTGAACAGAGACACCCGTTGGAGTATCAGCTCCAGCATGATCGGTATCGCTGCCACAACTACTCGGGCCATGCGCTCCTCCAGCGTTCCCACCTCGTAACAACAAGTGACGTGTTGTGGAGAATAAGGATCCACCACGTGAAGTCGCCTGCTGCTGAGCTGCCTGCTCAGCAATTTTGGCTATAGCTGACAGCGCTGCCTGCTTGGCAATCCGCATCATCGCGTTGCTTACTAAATTGCGGAACAGCGCGTCTTGCAACTCTTTAAGAGCGGCAGACATGCGGTCTACGTCGTTAGAATCAATAACTCTCACATACATCTGATGTTACTCAGAATTATGCGCAAAATATGCCATTTTGCTTTGAAGCCTCTTGGTTCTTTTCAGACAGCACATACTTCAAAAATTTTGAAGCACGTTTCGTATTGTGCTACAAGCGCGCGCGTTTGTCAACGTTCTTCGGTTCTAATGTAGTCGAAAGCGAGATTGATAAAGAAGACAACCTGTTGCAGCTACGGTAGAAATATACTCAGCTCACATGTCGCGAAATACGCCGTGAAAAAATCTGTCGATTTCTCTGGAGCATTTCAGTGTCACCTACCTCGTTTCGGCTTTCCGCCTGGTCGGCACGATCCCGCAAGGTTTTCGTCGGAAATACTTCCTTAAAGATTGCTGACAACTCTGTCTTCGGTCAGGACGGAATCAACAAAGCTGGCGATGCTACCAGAGTGGGGGCAACAGCTAGGGCAAAGTCACCAAACCCACTATCCGTTTCTCCCCAAACAATTCCGCGCAAGATTGCTTCAAGTCTGTGAAATTATCTTTCTTGTTTATAAAACTCTGGTGAAAGCACCAAAAGTCAGCAAACTCGTCATCGCCGCTTGGCTCGATGCTCTGGGTAAAATCTATAAAATCGTCGTTAACGGACGCGGTCTGTGCAAAAGTAGAAGTCATTGCCAACATTATAAAGTCTCTAACGCCGTTGACATCCTCAATTTGGAGCTTTGGTACTATAGCCGGTGATGCAAAGATCCGCACGGCAGTTCATCTGGACTGGCTCTCTCAGTGACTGTAGTAGCAGTTGCAGCTTGAAGCCCAAAATCATCGCCATCAGCGCTTGCATTAGACTCTCTATCTCAATTATTCCTACTACAGCATTTCTGGGGGCTCATCCAAAGCAAACGGAAGTTCCGTTACAACACTAGGTGGGGACGTACGCAACGAATTAAACTTATCTTGATGGAGCGACAAACGGTCATCCTTACAAATCACCAGTAAACGGTGCTTGGCTCGGCGCTTTCAACGTGCAAGTCCATTGTCGCCATTGTGAACGAAAACGTGTCGATTGGACTCCCACCAGACGTAACGTCTACCAAACTTTGCTTCAATGGAGAGGTAGTGGCATTACTAGACGAAATCGCGGCATCGTTTTTGTCAACCTCATCCTTGTCACGGTCTAAAAAGCACCTTGAAGGTCACCGACACGACTTTCGTTACCATTACCATTGATGATCAGGTCAGCGACAGTCTCATCGACTACCACGTCAGGCTCCATCGAAATGACAGGTGAACGTAGGACGCTAACCTCTTCTGTTACATGTTCTGTTGTAAATACGCTTCGTTGCGCTCGGTTGCAATCGTCCATCACCCCGTGAGTCCTCGGACTTCCATGGTTTTGGCTGTTCTGACGCATTTATAATATCGCTCTTACTTTCAACAACCGACGCAGTATCGACACGCATCTGCAATCAGATCTTTCTTTTCTCCAGCATTATCCTCTTCAGCGCGCTTTCTCACGCAATCCTCATTTTTGCCTTCGTCCATAGCATGTTCTCCACCGGTACTCCACCCTGCAGTGCGTCAATCAAAGACACGTCTGCTGCGGCCGCCAAATCTGCCGCAGCAAAAGGGTCCGCCTTATCTGACTCAGCAGCAACAAGTGCAAAACCTAGAAACCCGTCTGTCATTTTGAAAGCGATGCAGAGAGAGAGGGGCAGATTAGGACAATGTCCCGCTGATGTGGCACTAGGAAATGTGCTGAATGACGCACGCAATCCATTTTGACCAGCTATGTCTTCCATCGATCCCGCACCTACAAATGATGACCTCAATGAGCCAAAGGATCGAGTCGTGCGTATTGCAATCGGATCGCAATTCAACGTTTTGGTCTCCACAGACACAGGGGCAAAAGGGAAAAACTCTGGTCATGCCAGATCATTAATCTTATTGGATTCATTACTACTCAAGGTTAACACGACTGTTGCATTTGTTTAAACAATCATTATAACAACTAGTCATAGAAGATAAGAATAACATGTACCATAATGTAAGCTCTAGGCTTGTCAGTAACTTGGACTGCTGCAAGCGACAATAATGTATCATCAAGTATGTAAATGGACGAATGCTGAAAATACGACGATCATGCCTAGATATATTCTTGTCGTACATGATGTAGGATGGATGATCTATATACACTTGGTGCTCAACACGAATTAGAATTTGTTGATGAAGATTTATCGTCATAGCCTTGGAAAGTTCTGCGCGGTATTTCTCCGTCATTTCCCTGAAATCGTCTTTCTTGATGTAGCAGCTTTAACGCGGGTTTTCATTCCTCTTCATTCATTGTTCCATTGGACTTCAAGTACTCAAGTTGACCCAGTTTTCTCACCATTCAGAGCTACCCGATGAAGACTTCAATTGCTGTAATTGCTATCGCTCTGGTATATGTGGCGTCTCTTGTGACAGCCGATCACCATACGACTGAAAACGTTGGCAATACCGACGTGATCACCACCAAGCGCGGAAAAAGCCGTCCCTCGCTGGTCGTGCCAGTCGGTGTCATCGACAACCTGTTGGACGCCCAAAACAACACTATTGTTGTGACTGATAGCAACATTGTTATCTCGCTGAATGACCGCGTACAGCTCGCACACATCATCAAAGATGTTCTGCCAAACGCCACAGACACAGGTCTACCTAGTACCGTGAGTACTGAGGACATTTTTGCTCTTTTGACCCACATCAAGACAACGCCCGGCGTGCTTTCCAACGCTGCGGGCATCATTTCAGCTGCAAAAAGTGGTAACACTGCTGCTGTAGCCGGACACGTTGTAAGTCTTCTGCATGCAGCTGCGCCGACGATGCCAGTAGCTGCCGCAACTATAGCTCCGCTACCTGATACCATTGTTTCCAAAGCTCCGGTTGTCACTTCGTCCGACACGTCAGCAACTCCTGCGACTCCCATGGCACCAATGCATATGCGCTCGCAAATGTCGCCCCCCGTTACCTCTGCTGCTGCTGCCGCAGCTGCCACCCATACGTAGGTATTCGGCGACCGGATCAAATATCACTTGTCATCGGCTTCCACAAGTTCTTGAGTTGCTCTGAAGCTGCTCATGGATATCGTGGTGAAAACAGAGGCTTAGCCGATATGCGTTTACCTTTAACTTTTTCACTAATCAACACGTTGCTTTCGCATTAACTCGCTCTCAAAGTACTGTCAGACCTGTGATCGTTTGGCAAGCTGCTTTATTCGTGTATGCATATTAGAATGAAATGCAATAGCTACTCACACCGAGCGCATCCAAAACGCGGATCAGTCGGTGGAAGAGCCACAGGAATGGCTTGCAGTCGCCATGCACGCCGGTTTGCCATTTAGACGCAAATGTTCTTGCCATTAAGCGAGTTAAGAATAGTGAGGACATCTCGGAGGACGCCAGTAGCGCTAGCAGCAGCACCTGTGCCGGAGCCCTTGAGGACAAGCGCGTTCGGATATTGCACTGAGGAAAAGCCAAAGGCAATTTCGTTGTCTTTAGTGTAGAAGGCCGGGTGATCCTCGCTAATGAGCAGAGGCTTGATCGTAGCGTCAATTGACGGAAATTTGGCCAGATTGATTGAAGCAACGTAGTGAAGACGTTTGCCTTCTGCCACAGCAGGCACGTAATACTTTTCTCGGAAAGTCTCATCGTAAGCTTTGAGCCCGGTGACAATGTCGTTCACGTCCATATCGTTACACCACGCAATAGTATCAAGAACGCTCTGCGGAATGAGAGGCTCTAGTTGAACAGCGCTAGTGCTAATATGCACACCGAGAGCACGAGCCAATACTACGATTTTGGCGACCATGTCCGTGCCCGTGAAATCCTCGCGCGGGTCACGCTCGCAGTAGCCCTTACGAAGTACCTCGCCAACAGCTTCGGAAAGCGCTTTGCCCTTCATCACCTCGTTTGCAACAAAGTTCATGGATCCACTCAACGACGTCTCAATGCTAAGCACTCGGTCACCCGTGCGCAAGATGTTGCCAAGGGTATCAATAACAGGCAAACTTGCGCCGATAGTCGACGTGTACATGAAGAACGTACGACCGGTCATGTTGCGAGTGGTGGCGACACTTTCGCGTGATGCAGTAGGTGGAAGACGGCACACTGAGCGGGCATTCGAGGCAACAACGTGTATTCCACGCTCAATGCAAGCCAAGTAGAGGTCTTGCGTGCTACCCTGACCAGAGCAGTCGATCAGGATTGGGATTGCCAAATCTTGCAACTGGTCTAGCTGCTCAAGCGAAGGAGCACCAGAATACGGAATCGATCCAAGTGACGGTGACGCAGACACAACGGCGCTCGTAGTCTTGCAGCTTTCTAGACGCAATATAAGCTCCACAAACGAGAAGCCCTTCGAGTTGTAGAGGAAGTCGCAACATTTAGAGCCAAAACCAACAATGTTAACGCGTGCCTTGTGTTGGTAGCGGTACAACTTCTCCTGCTTCTGAAGCTGACGGACTACATCTAACGTGATGTGGTTGCAGCCTAGAAGTACAACGTTTGTCACGAGGTAGTCCACGTTAAAAGCGTCGTGCATGCGACGTACAGCCACTTTTGTATCGGCACCGCGAATTACGCAGCTCAGCGACCGTGAGCTCGTACCCTGACCGACAGCCAGGACTTCAATATCAGCAGCAGCAAGAGCTCCGAAGAACTTTGTCTGGTTGTGCGGCACCTTGGACAGGTCTTCGGCCACAACAGAAAGCATGGTCACAGGACACTCCGAGTTGACATGGTCGACTTCGTGAGACTCAATTTCAGTACTCAGCTCAGCGTTGATGGCAGCGCAGGCCTGCTCTCCGCTGATGCGAGGCACCACGACGCTAATTGCTTGTCCGTGGGCACCACGGATCGATAGCCACACAGGAATCTTAAGCTCTTCCAGCGCCTTTGTCACACGAGCACCAATATTTTCGACCTGGCGAGAGTCATTACTGCTATCCTGCAGGATCCTTGTACGAGCCTCAATAATCATCAGGTTCTCCAACGATGTGGTGCACGTCTCACGCGTATCTGAGCGTCCAACGTTGCTAATGTATGTACCATGGCCATCCGGATCCATGGTGTTGCGAATAAGCATAGTCACCCCGCTTTTGATAAGCGGCACCATGGTTCGTGCGTGGAACATGCGAGTGCCATAGACTGCAAGCTCCAGAGCTTCGTAGTGGTTCAAGTGAGACAGCGCTACAGCGCGTTCGACAATCCTCGGATCCGCCGTCATGACGCCCGAGACGTCCGTGTTGATAAGCACGTAGTCGGCACCAAGAGAAGCACCTACCAACGTAGCAGTATAGTCCGATCCATTACGTCCCAGTGTGGTAGTGCGACCACTACGAGTACTAGCAATGAAACCCGTAATCACTGGCAGCGTATTGGGTTTCCATTGCATTGCTAATTCCTGTAGCTTTTCCTTGGATTCGTCAAATAGGACCTTAGCACAGCCATAAGTATCATCGGTGATTAACCACTTCGATGCATCTAGATAAAATGCTTCAACGCCGGCGATAGTCAATAGCTTGGCGACAATTTTAGCACAAATCCGTTCACCGTACGATAGCACCATGTCCGTTGCTGCAGTCGTTTGTTCTTGCAACAAAGAGATACCAAATAGCAGTTCCCGTAGAGGTTTAAAATGATCAATAATCATATCAGTCATGTCTTCATATTGCTGAATCTCGAGTTGTTCTTTTTGTGTGTCATGGGCATTTCGGAGCGTCAGCAGTTGCAACTTGTTTACAATCTCAAGTGCAGTTTTAGCATCACCTTTTGCTGCAAACGATATTGCATGCAATAAATCGTCCGTTGTATGACCCATAGCAGATACGACAAGTGCTACCACACGTTCACGTTCATTCTGAATAATCTGCACAAGACCACAAAGTCTGGTAGGACTACCAACAGATGTACCACCAAATTTATAGACATTACGTTTTCCATTGCAATGATTTAAGTGACTAAATTTCTTCTCATGACTAAGAGAGAAAGTATCAGTATGGACACTTGAGGACTTCCCATATATTTCGTTAGGCCAATTCGCTCCAATAAGTATTGATGGTGACATGCAATTCATTGTTTAGGCCAGACGTTATTTTGTGTGATTTTTTGATTGCCAAATAGATAGAGATGACTGACTGACTGACTGACTGGCTGGTGCACCTACTTAGGTCCGTATATAGTGGGACATTTACCATGGACAAGGCCAAAGGATCTCCAGTCTTCCTTGTATATTAATTATTATTGTTATTCTAGATCAAGTAAGAAAAATATTGCAATATTATATTAAGTTAGAGCCAGCTGCCATTGTTACTTCATCTGTTGTATGATTGAAAGCTCTCTTGGCACTTCCCATCGTGCCGAATTTTCTATGAGAAACCGTAATTCTGTTTTTTTTATTTATCTCTGTGTGGCAGTATCAAACTTTCTCTGTACTCTTCCATTGAAAAAAAACCCATGAAGTGTTTGTCAAGTTTATCAACTTCACTTCATACTGCTACTTTGACTACCAAAGTGAAAACCTTTTGGCTATCAATTCTAAAATTAAGAAAACCAAAACCCACTGCTCAGCTTAAACATTGCAAGGATACAAAACCTACCACACATTACCATGGTCGAATCAGGTCGTGGTATGCACATATGATACTAATTCACTTGTCTGAATTTGGTGCTGAAGCAGCACGTGGTCTTGTCTTATCAACACTATTTACATACGTACAAGAACTTGGTGGAGGATTAAAGGATATTGGTCTTCTTACTGCTCTTTTTAGTCTTGGAAGGTTCTTATCGTCCATATTATTTGGGTGGCTATGTGACCACACGTCATTTCATGTATTGTACAATATTTCAGGCACTTGTGCGGTCTTGGGCAATATCTTGTATATATTACCATACAGTCCATCACTACGCAGCAGGACGTTACTTGCATTTAGTCGGTTTGTGATTGGCTTTGGAGCTGGAAATCGAAGTGTCTGTCGAGCCAACATTGCAATGCTTACGCGTGTGGACCAACGATTGCAGTACTTTACTCTATTTGCCACTGTCGTTTTCCTCGCGTATGCATTGACGCCAGGACTTGGAAGTATCATTGGCAATACACAGATTCAAGTTGCTGGAAACCTACTGGAGTTTAATCGATTCACAGCCCCAGGTTTCTTTCTTGTAGTGCTCAACTTGGTGACGATCGTTTTCAACAACCTGATCTACGATGACACAGTTTCGCGCGATGACGCGCCAGAGTCTCCAAAGCTCACCATAGCTGCAATGGCTTCACCAACGAAAAGCTCGAACCCAGACGTGAAGGAGAAACGAACGGTTCTTGTTGATGATTCCGATAATAACACTAGCAAAGCTGTTGGAAACAATACCGCACAAACTCTTCAGCAAGAAGGAATGCCACGCATTTTGTCGAATCGAGCGGTGACTGTGGGTATAATGGTATTTATCTTTTTAAATTTTAACGTACGCGGGATCCTTTCCATATTTGAGACTGTAAATGTGCCGCTCTTCCTCGAAATGACGAATCGAAATACTACTGAGGAACAGGACTCGGTCATGGCGACAAAGGAAGCATCCACTTTTTATTTCGCCGTTGGACTGTTTGGATTAATTTCATACGCGTCTGTGCAGGTGTTGCGCAAGAGAATCTCCGATGTATTTTGGCTGCTCTTTGGCTTTGCCATGCTACTCGTCGGGAACGCAATCTTACTCACTTTATGTGCAGACATGCACATGAACAATCAACGAAGCGATGACATTGACAAAGACCATTCACAGCAGGAGTTCAATATCTTTGTGGCTGGTGAGATTTTCGTTTGGAGCATTGGTTGTCCACTTACATCAGCTGTGGTCGTGTCGGCATTCTCAAAAACGCTCGGCTCGCGACCACAAGGTCTATTCATGGGTGTGTTCGGTGCCGCGGCGTCAGTGGCTCGTATGTCGCTGCCATTCTTGCCAAGTCTGCTGGGGTCGTGGTCTTTACTCTTCCTCGTCAATATGGTGCTCTGTGCGATCTGTATTATCGTGCTCTCATTGTACCTCGGCTTTCTGTTTAGGCAAGGAACAAGTGCTGACGACCAGTCGACAGTGATCTACGATAGCGTTCAGCTTCACTCAGACGGTCGAGAGTGCGGCAGTGTAGCAGCTTGATTGCATTGCAACTTATTACAAGCTGAGCATTCTTATTTCAAGTTGATAGTAAAAAGCCACATTAATCTATGGACGTGATGATAGCGTCCCAACGCTGTCGTGACAAAAGCTTTGTTCAACGCAATCTGACTCTAGCTTACCAGTAAATAATTTCCATGAGTAACTTATGGTATGCATATTCGTTCGCGTTGCTGTTCCCCTACCACGGCAATAGCAAGTTTGCATTTTGACATCAAAGTTTGCAACGGCATCTAGACAAAACAATTGCGTAGTCGTGAAAGCATAAGCGCAACAACCGAGCTATTTTATGTTGAAGCAACGACCGGAGCAGGAGTGCCAACTGTAGAAGAAGACAGAATAGCTCCAGGAACTGCTGCACCCATCAAGCCTACTACGTGACCAGCCAAAGCACCCGTGTCATCGCCTAACACCCGTGTCATTATCACTCCTTGCAGTCGAAGTGACACCCGCAGCCTGTGGAAGCATGGCCGAGTTCATTGCAATGCGTGTCAAGAGTCCAAAAAGGTATTGTTACCCTTCGTGTCCACCTCATTGCTGACAATGCCAATGGGACACAGTTACGATAGAGTGTCATATCTGTGCATACTGTCGTCTGTCGTCCACAATTGACTAGACGTCACAAAGGACACCGACTCCACAAGAATTACAGCACGTGTTCGATTACTGAGGTGGACGAGGCTATCCGAAGTTCATCGCAATAACGACATCATCGATAATAGATCACCTCAGACCACCTGGGCGCTAACCTGAAAACTTTGTCAGCATTAGCACGAATTCCTCTCGTATGTGTTCGCAGCGATAAACGCAACAATTGACAAACTTGATAAGCTACTTTTCCATTTCCTGATGGCGCAAAGAAAGAAACACAAGAATAACACGACCAAGATGACAAAGCTCAAGAATTTCCCTTCAATCGCCTCTCTCAGACGCTCTGAATGCTGTGCAGCTCGCCATCTACATCATTGGCATCAACAACAGCAGAGCTTTTCTCTCCCTCATCGGACACAGCAGGTCTTGAGCTGTGCAGGACATTGGACCGTGGTGTAAACTCAAACGTGGTCTCCTTTGATCCATCGTCCTGTGTCTTCTCCGTCGGCATTTTCCCCTTCAGGTACATGTAATTATTGTAGGCGTCGCGATACTTGCGGTGGACGACAAGAATAGCCATCAGCAGTAGCAATACAACAAAACCCACAATAGCAACGGCCGCATAGACTGAGTAGAGGGCCTTTGTGTCCAACACGACGGCACTCTCCGTGCATGTAGTGATCGCATCAGCGCTCTCCGCTTCGGAGTAACACGCTAACTTGCGAGCATACGACACTAACTGCTCGCCGCCATTACAAGCTGAGCGGAGTTCGTTGAAGTAGTCGCGATCACAAATCGGGCAAGCATACGCAGTCTTCCAGACAATATCCCAATTACACTCGCCATCGTCCTGTGATGCAGACACTGGTTTACTTTTCGTTCCTATTCAAAAAATAAGAACATAAGTCAGCTTCTGTCAACCAAATTATCAAACTGCTGCTCTTTACCACTGCTAAGATCACACTCAAAATTGAACGTCGTGGACATCGTCTTGCCGTCGACGCAAGGTGACCCACCCGTCAGTGAGACCTTCACACCGGCGCCTGATTCCAACGGCAAAATATCCAAATGGCTACCACCATTCAAAAGCTTCCATTGCTACACGACACAGCCACATACCACATATACAAGTGAGTGACGTGGATACTATAAAGGATCTATCCCACGACAATTTTACCGCTGGAGCCGAGCACATGACTTCGCCGTAAACGCCACTTTTCTGATGAAAGTAGTTGCCTGCTTCGCGTGGGTTCACCAAATTGGCAAGAACAACGTATGCGACTTCGCTGTTCGTGTCCACATCTTGGTCCACAACCAGACCTGGCACTTGTTGTAACCAGCCACTCCCGAGAGGGCGAAAAAGTCCAGTGAACAAATAGTTTTGATCGTCCGCTACAAGCTCCATCGTAAACTCGACAGGCGTCGTAGGCTGCAGACTTGTCGAGTTTCCGTAAACCTTGGATTCAAGGATCCTGCTCGCATTGCCCCACACAAGCGTTTCCAGTAGCGACAGGTTGTAAGTCACCTGCAAACCATCGAGCACTGATGACACGGCGGCGGACGATGATAATAAAGATGACGACGACTCCTCCACCAACGACGAGCTAGCATTCAGCGTCACCACCTGAGGAGCAGCGCAGGCCACTGCGCCAGAACTACTGTATGTATTCGCACCACACGGAATGCACTTTGCTGCCCCCCCCTTGAATATGTGTTGGCTGGGCATTTAGCACATGCAACAATCCCAGTGGAGTCATCTAATTTGGCAAACGTGCCAGCAGGACAGACGCGGCACCTATACGCTTGCTCTTCGCCGTCGTTCGAATTTGACGGTTCGTAACCGGATGGGCATCTATCACAGCTCACACCGGGACCTTCTCGGGTGCCCGTAAAGTCTAGGGACACTACTTTTGCTTCAATTGCGCGCCTTGCCTGGGCACTAGTTGCTCGCACCACAAATTTAAACTCCTTTACGCATGCAAAGGTAATATTAAAGTGCACAACCTCGCTGAACGTGCCATTTTCTCCACCATGAAGCAAGTGGAAAATGCTGGGGTCTGAGTTCGTCTTGTCGCTACCACCGCTACTGGTAGAGCCGTCATTGCTATTCGGTGCACTTGGGATATCCATCTTCTTTTGCGCTCTTTTGTCACTGTCAGCGGCATCGCGCACTTCCAACTCAACCCAAGCAAGTGCACCATTGTTCGCAAATGTAGGAACGCCGCTTAATGTGTACGTTAGGTTCAACGAGCCGGAGTGGATGAAAGGTAAGCCGAACGACAAGGCCGAACGACTGGGCCGAGACCAATTACTGGTATCCCGATCGTCTCTCATGTGATATACAAACCGCGCACCGCTCTTCGTGAGCTTCCACCCTGCATGCTGAGCTTCGTCGGCGTCAAAGATCTGTGGCCAGAAGCTCCAGCCGTCCGGTGTTCCCACACCGTACTTGAGTCCATTGACAACAACTGTACCAGCTGGGCACTCTTCACATTTACCGGAAGCGGCTAATACTTGACCAGCATCACACACCTCAACGCACTCATCTCCTTCCCCAACGTCGTAACCCCATGCGCAGTTAGCACACGGAATGCCCTTCTGCGATTCAGGAAGTTTAATGCTCTTCTTTAACGTCATATCACACGTCTGCGGCTGGCTCCATGAATACGTGACATCGCGCACACCATCTTTGCAAGCAGTATACGTCTCATCTACGTCGTCCATCGAGCACGCATGATGTTCAATGCAAGACGAAACGCCGATAGATCCCTTCGGTGCGTACGTATTCGGTGGGCATGGGTAACACGTAAAATCCAACTCACTGTTGGACTTGGCATCTGCATACTCATTGGGACCACAGAAAGCACACAGGGAACCACCACTGTTGGTCATATCTCCTCCGCATGTATGACAGTGCAAATCAGACCAGGCCGTGCCCACCATTTCAATCACCTTAATAAATGCCTTATCCGCCCCTGCATCTCCAGCATAGTCCTTTATATAGTTCCATGCTAGCGTATGCGCACCAGCAGACACCTGCACAATGGTTTCCTGCCAGCCATCCGACCGCGAAACCAAAGCAGAGCTTTCATCATCGTCTATCTGGAACATCAAACCATCAAACGGCTGTTCCGCATCCACTAGATACTTGTATGTGACCCAACCGTCCCGCACAAAAGTTGCACTAATTCGCAACGTCGAGTAAAGTCTCGCGGCCTCAAAATTGTAAAGTACATCAGAATTTTCACCCGATGAGATGTAGGACCCATCAGCCGAAGACTCCCACGGCATGCAATTGTGAGCCCAGTGACCCGAGAATATGCTTTGAGTCATACAATCTGTCTGAAATACGACAGGCAGCGGAGTGCTCCATGCATTCGTACGTTGTGAGAACAACTGACCTCCACCGAGCGAGTATTTACCCTTTGGACACCTTTTGACATCCTGATACAGGCACAGTATCAGAAAAGCTAAATCAATAATACAAATAACAAATACAAATTAGACCTTAATTACGTGTCCAAAAGAAGACATACAAAAACTAATACATATAATCACGTACTTTACTCCAAGATAATAACCACGACCACATTCGACATCGCAGCGTAGATTATGAACAGGAGCTTTTTCAAAAATAATCCAAAGACACATCATACAAATTAGTTCATAAGTATATCAAGACCCGGGGTTTTCAGTCATTTTATTACGTTTTGCAAGCACTTGGCCTGTGGTGTTGGCGAAACACGTGCCCTCGCTTTCCAAATAGTAGAAAAGTGTACGCTTATTGTCGATACAATCACTATAGCCATAACGAAATTTGGAGCTGTTTGCGAGTACCCCAGAGGCCGCAAAAGCTGTTACCGTCAACCACGTCACCACTATTTGCATCGTCCAAACGCTTCTTACTACTCTGTTGTTTTTCGAATCCTAAGATAAGTTTGGTCAACACGTGTACACAATGAGTACACGTGTTATCGATATCAAAAAGGGCCTACTGGAAAAAGAAGATGTCAAGTTATTGACGAATAATCGTTGGACGCGAATCGCTGTTGAAGACAGATGGAGTCGAGGAATGTTGCTCACTTGTCCGCAGTTTTGCGTTTTGTACATGATTCATGTAATTAGCAATGTACATTCTCTCTTATGGACAGAAAATCTGTACATCTTGGGTCATTCGTTCGACAGATGAATACTGTTTAGTGATACGAAAGTCGTCTAGACAGATCATTTGATCCACTTTGGATGTCAACTAACGTTAGAATAGCTTTTAAAAAACTAATGATTGTTTTCATCAGGCCACTCAAGATGATCACGTGTTCCTGGTATGACTAACAAAGCTCTCACTATTTGAGTAAATCTCACATTCGTATTTGGATGTACACTTCTTAATGCCTATCGCTAAACTGCATGCCGATGGTGGACGGCACTTGCGCTCTTCCGTTCGCGATTGAATGCTATGAAGGGTGTTGATGGATGTTGGTCGTGACTGCAGTACTGATTGCACAAGAAATCCTCTACCCAATTCTGTGCCTTAATACTAAAGAAGATCATAGCTATGCTAAATGTCTGTAGACCCGTGTGGTCTTCATCCACTTTCAAACACCGGTAAATATGTTTTTGAATGGTGCGCAATATTTCGGGGAGAATTCAAGAAAGAAGGCCGTTTGCAGGATGTGTGTTGGTTAATGTGACCGGTATAAGGACTAAGCGATTGCTAATAAACAGGTATGTTTGGCCTCATTTTCCTAGTGCTCTTAAGTTCCTTTGCAGCGTGCCATCGAACAAGATATCATTGACGCTAGGAAATGCAGCAAAAAGGTACTTCTTTTTGTTTGTCTTCTCGTAGCATGCCTTCAGATCGTGCAAGGTGCTGGGTTCACTTGTCCAAGAAGCTCTGCAGAGCGTTCAGAAATACTCTAGCACGTCAATTATGACGACGACAAGTCAACATTATTGACGCTCACTGCGATTCTGTCGCAGTGAGCGAGTCGATAACGGACGGTTGACAACGTCGTCTTTTACCAGCTCAGATGGCAGTCAACTCCCAAAAGTCGAGACGTAGGAGCCAGGCTCAACATTGAGATACCGTATGCCGATTCAACTGTCTCATCGTCGATCACGTTCACGTGGGGTTTCAAATCTGACATCATACTGCAACCATTTTAACATTTGTAGTATAACGTCAGCGAGCCAAACATTACTTGAATGTCACGACAAGCAAGAGCACAAACGATGTATCGAACTAGATGCATATACGTTCAAAAGATACTATATTTAGTGTGGGTGCTTGGCAGCTTATTGCAAGTGAAAGTTCATATGGATGCAGTCCACCGGTAAATCTTTAAATACAAAGACTATGAGTCGATTGCGCCCCGATGACGTTTAAGATGCCAATGCTTCGCTGAGTCCAGTGCGGCATGTAAGCAGCGTGGTCGTTTCATGTGCAGTAAAATGTAGCGTGATATGTAAGCAGCATGATTGTCTCTTTACAGTAAATCTATTGCGGTGTGTAAGCATCATGGTGACTCGTGATGAGTGCGGAAGCTTATTTTTTCAATGATTGCGGTGATTGATACGCTGAAAGTCGTGGCGCAATGTCTCGGCCTAGACAGCATTAATGACAAATGCATTCGCAAAAATTCCATGATGTGATATTGGCGATGGAAAGGATTTCAATCGTGCCGACAAATGTTGTAAGGGCTCCGCTACTAGAGGGGAACCATATTGTCTATTAACTGGTTAGTGCAAGATATCTGGTAGGTAGTTCACCACTCTAGCAATGCGGAAGGGTCCAGGCATTGCCTATGGCTGGCAGCCCGGCTTTAAGAGCCTCTCGGTTTTGATATAAAAATGTCGTAACATGCACACTGGTCGCCACGCACGGCCGTGTCAGCCCTGCAATGGAGACATTTTATGAGCTCCTGCAGCTGGAGCTGGATTTATCCCATATACAGGCTTTACTGTCGTGCACCGGGATATTCGCAAACGCTGTTCACGCGGTGTTGCCAAGGCATTGCGATGGCGACGGTCCCTGCGACCTCCCATTTCGTCCGCCAGGCCGTGGCAAACAGATTGATGTCTTGTGCATATTGAACTAACAGCAATGCTGTGATCTGCGGCGAAATGCGTGGTACGCATTGATTTGCGTTGTGCTCGAGCCAAACCAGTTGGTGTTTAGGCTTGTGAGGTGTGCTCTCCCAATAACTGATAAGCCGGGCCCAGATAGCCTGAGCACGGGAACATACCCCAACAGGATGCTTTTTGGTCTCCTTCTGTCCCACACAGCCTCGATACATGCAAATTCCGTCCGGAGGCCGGTCCTAGTACAAAAAGTATAGCTGACCGGAAGGGTGGCGGTATCTTGTCCATAGCTAAGATTCTGTCATCGTAGCGGCTCCGCTACTAGAAAACACCTGATGTGAGCGCGCTACATCTGCGACATTGTAGCACATCGGAATTCGTTGTCTAGGAAGATTTATCACCAAATATAAAAAATCAAACATCTCCCTTCTTCTGCCATAAACGAACAAGCCGACGAGGCTTTTAAGATCGAAAAGGCTCATGGCGTCTACATTGGATCACGGCGAAGATATAAGCCAGATACTTCTTAATTCATCATTATAGGACTCCACTTCAGAATCGCCAAGCAGAAGATAAGTTAACACACAATATGCTGTAAGATGCAATAGACGATCATACTGTAAGACCCAATCATTACCTTATCCCATTGTGACCGTTACGATCAGTCATGACCGTATCTGTGACGAATTTCTCATTGTGACCGTCACGATCAGCCATGACCGTATTGGTGATGGATTCTGCTTGTGGCCGAATCACTCTAAATGAAATTCTAGCTAGCCATGCTTTGATTCTCGTGTACAATCTCGATACAAAACCAGAAAATGCTTCGGGTATAGCGAGCTCTCGATCTTCTTCATCGCCGTGCAACATTATTGTCGGTACCACGAAAATATCTTCCCTCTTGCGCGCTGTTCTAAGCAAATAGCAAACGAGATAGCAACACAAGGTCGCACTCCAAAGTTCTGGTCGTCTTGGAGCGTATCGTGGGCAATGCGTTGACTTGAAGAGCTACCAAAGTCGAAAAGTAAACCCACAGTAGAAGACGCATGACGGATGACAGCCTAACAGCGAAATGTTTGCGTGCTTGTAAAAAGGGAGAAAAGTGAGTAGAATATACGAAGGGACACGATACACTGAAATGAATCGGAGAAGAGCTTGCGTTCGAAGCTAGTACAAGCAACAGTGAGATTTGCCAATGAATTATTCGAAGATCATTCCGGGAGGATACTAGCATACTCGTAGATGACCAGTTTTATATCTAATCGTTCTGCAAATTGTAGAAACTAGAGGACGCTGGAAGTAAGGATGGATCATTTACGTTTCCTTTCTGTGGTCTTATACTCGTCAGGCTTATACTACTGACTTTGTCTATGGCTTTTACTAATGCGACAAAAGACACTGTTCTAAAAGTGAGACTCGCACTCAGCGGAGCTGGTTCGCAGGAGGGCGCACGAGGAATCAGTTGAGCAAAGCCAGCAGCGGGCAAAGCGGGCGAAGCTGGACCAACCTAAGACATCTCGGAAACTTTTACTAAACCGCTGTTGACCTTGCTGATGTCCACTACGGCCGAGCCTCTACGGTAAAGACTGGATGCTGCAAAGATGGCGAGCATGACAGAGAGACGCAATACGATTACAGTTTGAAGAAGCCGGTTGGAAGGGTCGACTGAAGACTGTGAGCAACTATGCAGAATGCAGAATGCAGAATGAGAGTGAACATTGTTTGGTCAGCACATTCTTCTAACTTACGTATTAAAGTCCTTATAATGCGACGTTGATCAAAATTTCATACGTCATTCGATATTGCTAGGCAACGGAAGCCATCAATTTGTAAAGTTACAATATAGGCTAGCGCATTGATTACTCTATCGTATGGGTCGCATATAAAAGGCAAGCTTAGAATATTCTCGACCATTAAATTTTCGTGCTTCTTCAAGCAGCTCGGCCAGGCTATGCAATCTTTTCTCCGCCAATCACAGAGCGTTGAAGTTGCGCTGCATAATGGTTGCAAGACTAATTAAAATGATGACCCATTCGTTCCTGCATGATTGTTTTCCAAGGTTGACGCAACGACAAATTAAGTGAATAAGCATAAGACAATACGGTGAGCTTTGGGTTCAGTGAACGAAGAAAAAGGCTGTTGAGGATCTGCGGACGTCATCCTGCTGCGTCCAGACAGTTGTCACATGATTTCCAAGTGGCTGCCAATGTGATGAAGTAGTGAGCAGCGTAGGTGCATACTTCAACGCGTGGATGGACCAGTGCTTTATCAAAGTATGTAAACAACCTCTACCAAACGACCATTGAGCATTGCTTACCAGCAGCTTGAAAACGCACCAGCAGCTCCATCAGACTTAGTAAACTGCGTGCTACTAGTTCATTTGAACAGGATTATTAGCAAAGTTTAACAAATGTGACTCTACTATGCCTTGCAACACGACTGCACTGTAGATTCACCTGATCTACGGTCAAAAGAAGGCCGTTAAACGACTACGAGAAGCAGCTTTGCGACGAAGTTGCCAAATGCGAATGCCCCCCGTCAGTAGAAGCTGACACAATTGTGGATGCGTGCAAACCCACAGTTAGTGCAGACACGCCCTCGGCATGTGCATCCGGGATTTCTAAAACCTGTTCATGACCCCTGGGTTCATCAAGTTTCCAGAATAGTAGCTTGCCATTCGACGTTCCGCCAACTGCGTATTCGCCGTCTGAGTCAAAGCACCTACAGGAGTCAGAAACAAATGTTAGGTACACGGTAGATCAGGACGTCAGTTACACATAATGCACGCAGACATACTGGACAGGTCCATCAGCGTTCACGTTGATCGCTATCACTTGCTTGCCATCCATTTGAAAGACCGAAAGCTCGTTCGCTGTGCTCATGCAAGCGACTGTGGATCCCCCACCACAGAATGTTAACCCGCAAATTTCTGCGTGTTGTGTTGGGCTCGCAAAGATCTTGCGTATTAACTCGCATGTGCGTAAATTGATAAGATACACCATTCCTACCACACATAAATAAAACTCATGAGCATGTCTTTCCCAAGCATAAAATGACTCGACTCAGCCCTCACCATTACTTGTAGCAGCAGCACCTGTACATCCATCCATGCTAATGCACAGACAGACTACCGACTCTTCACACTCCATGAACGTCGATAACGGAGCCGTCGCAATCCCTTTTGATGTATAGTGCCACGTCTTGATCGAGCCGTCCCAGGAACTCGAGAGCAAACGGTCTTCATATACATCTATAGCCGACAGACCATCATCGTGGGCTGTGATCTGATCGATTACACGTCCAACGTCCATGGAGTACATGTAAATGCAGTTGTCCCATGATCCAACAAAAACATACTTTTCATCGGGTGATACACCACAGCATGACAAAGCCAGGTTGCACGAAAGGTTACGCCGAAGCGTGCCATCCAATGTTGCAGAAACCTTAAAAGTTGAATCCTTTGACGTTGAAAAAAGCGCTCGTCCACCTTTCCCTAGAACCAAAGAAGTGACTTCGCTATGATACATAACAAGTTAAGTGAGGCTAGCAGCAAGGAAACAACGAACAAGGATGGTGTTCAGACTTACCTTGCATGGAGCATGTAGTGTGTCGATGGCGCCCACGACGAAGTATCGCCACTTGTGCCAAATGTCCAATTCCAACGCTTAGATGATTCAACACTCATTCGTCGGCGAATTTGAGCTGTAATCCCTCCTACAATCCGCTGTGCTTGTTTTGGTACAGAGCTTAATGAGCGAGTTCGGAATGCAAACATACTGCGTCGATTCCCCGTCGTTGCGTGCTCCTCCTCTTCATTCTCATCAAAGCAGCTGTTGCGGTTGCCATCGCTATTTCCTCGGCTACGATTATCGAAATCTGTAACTGACGACGATGACCTGTTGGTCAATCCAGCTACCTCATCAAGTTTTCGCGAAAGCGGCATCAAGTCGAGCGTCGCAATATCCACTGCTTTGCCGACATCATTACGAGAAGGATGAGCTCCAGAAAAAAGCAGCTTAGGCGTCTGTCCAAACTCTTGAATCTGCGCTTCGAATGAGCACTTCTCCACAGGGTCTGTTATTTTTTCAAGATCCACAGAGCCTTCGTACGATAGGTAGTAGAACACTATTACAAAGCAAAGCAAGCGAGAGCAATTACTAAATGCCAAACGACCCATTCTCAAGTGACAACGATCGAGTGCACAAACAAAACTTACAGTTGTTTGCCTCAATCGCAGCCTCTCCACGTTGTTTGCAGCCAAAGATCAGATCTATCCACTCGTGAAGGTGCTCTGAAACGTATTCGCTCTCCAGCGCTTCTCGGTTAATACGGACAAATTCAGATGGGCTGGATGCCCATGCAGGAAGCTCGACGTCTCCAACCTACGAGAAAAGATAGGACAGCAATAAAAGCAATAGGAATGAGAACTCTTACCAAACAAAACCTCATACGCATGTTAACCATGTACCCTTGTCAGCTTTTGCGTAGTCCCAAGATCAAGATTCTTTCCATTGCAAAGCCACTCCTCCGCCGGTAGCGAGTCGTCAAAGAAAGCTGGAACAAGCTCTTTCAGATCAGCATGGTTTGTGTTGCAACTGCTCCAGGTATTAGGAATACTCTGAAACAGCCGGTCCGGAGCGTCAAACTTTCCATTTTGGAGACAAAGCATATATTCAGGAGCCATTCGTACAAAGTAATACAGCACATAACCTGGAGTGGAGTAATGCGTTCCATACAAAAATGGCGGAGGCAAACCTTCATCTTCCATACCATGAGGCATCGTTTCAAACCGCGCTTTATAAAACTCCAAACGCTCTTCATTGAGCGCACCGACGGGCTTTGAGAGGTCACGATATATAGCTGGATCTGACAGGTCTATCGATGGGCTTATGTAATCGTTCACTATCCACGGAAACACCGGATACTGCGTCAGATCATTCTTCGTGCGACCGGCAGTGTTGTTCAAGTACAGCAGGTAGTCGTAGTTTGATACCTCGCGCTGCTGCCATTTACGCAGCATAGATTCCAAATCTGTCTGCTGCAGGTGTTTCAAATCTGGCTGATTCACCATCATGTCATACACTTCATCACGATCATGACGATTCCGAAAGCTAAAAAAAAAGCTTTCTCCATTTTTCAAAAAAATCTCGAGACCCGTTTGTTTCAGCATATGCCGTCGCTTGTACAAGTACTCGATCGTATTATACGCCCAATTCAGCACAGGATCGCCCACATTGTTCACTTGTGCTGGCTGAAAGTATAGCCGCTGATTTGTCAGCATCAGACAGCCCGGATACTTTAGTAGCGGCACAATACGGTCCACTAATTTTCCCTTTGTCTGCAATGGACGTTCACGAAAATCCACCAACAAACTCGAATCAAATTGATCTGTCTGCCGTGGTTCTAGCACTGGCTCAAGCAACATTTCTTCATCTACTTTGTTCATCACCCCGTCTTTGTGTGCTAGTTCCCAGATTGGCTGTACATTCTTTAAAAACTCTTCAATTTTTGAATGAACCAACGAGAAAGTATATTTCTCAGGTACTCCAGTACTAGATCCAGTATCTTTCTGTACGTATGGATGATCCACTCCTCTTTCCTTCATTTCTACCACCGACGACACGCTAAATGCTAGAAAAATAGCACAATCTGCAGCTTCAGGACTCTCATGTAGCTCCGCCACGGGCAGTTCCTTCATGTCTCGAAAAAAGAACCTTAAGATGGGTAAATTTGTATCTTGTGGCTCAAAAAAAAAGCCACGCGTGCACATTTTTAGTCGTCCTTGAACTTTACTGCAACATCAAGACATGAATATGACTATATCTATACACAGAGTCTAAACCAATTACATGACTCCCTTTTGTTTCAAGCTTACATACCGATGCGAATCAGGTTTTGGTTCTAAGAACCGATAGACACTGAAATCCTATATATTAATGATGAGAATCAAATATATTATTTAAGAATACAAGCACTAATGTTTAGCATAAGAGACGCAGTAGAAATTCGAAATAAGTAGCAGCAATTGTATACATACATCGAGAAAAAACTCGCCGTCCTCGAGAAGCAGTAGATTAAACCGTGTTTGTGCTCCTTTGTACCCAAGCTTGGACGCGAACATGACGACAAGGTGAACAAACGTTAGTGGTCTTATGTAGTCGGTTTCAAACACACTAAATTGTACACTAAATCGGATGCGTAGAGTAGGTTAACAATTAAAAACTAGGATCGATTATGGACACAAGAGTTTCAAAACACGGTTGATAATGTCAAACATACGATTGGACTTAATTGATGATTACGGGCAACCATCCCATGGCTTGTCTTTTATTTGAGATTTGATTTGCTAAAAACATATTATATTATAAAGAAATACCCAATCATCTCACAAAGAGCAAATGTGATGGGCAAATCGGGGTCGGAAGGTACCTATGAATCTCCAAGACGTGACTGGAGCCACATGCATGCCATCTTACAATTGCATGTTCCTATAGACTGTAGACATTTACTTTAAATAATGCTGACTCTCTTTACTGCTCTTCTTATATATGTTATTTTCTCATGACGGTCGTTGCTACATACAGTGTAAGTTTATATTAGGTAATACAAAAAAGCAAATCAAAATATATAAAATGACAAAGACAATAATTGACCAATCCACGAGTCTTATTTTCGAATTGCAAGAAATCGTTTGCGGCCTACCTCTGGATCAATAAATCTCGGATCAACCAACGGAAGTATTATACAGCTTATAATTCCACTGTAAACCATACGCAATACAAAAACAGGCTGAAATAAAAGGGAGAGGGAAGGTGAAGAAGAAACAACCTTCGGTTCACAATAACGCCGAGCTATAAAGTCTTTGCTCGTCCTCAGGGAGGGTGGTTGGTGTCTATAACCTTATTTTTTTATACAAAAACAAAGACAAAAAAAGACTTTTATGTCCCTCTTCTCTGCTATGGCTGACGAGGGCAGTGTATGGGCACAAGGCTCGTCACTTTTTAACATATCAAGTCCACTAAATGATCTATTAGAGAGAGATAATTTTACATTAGTGCAAATCTTGCAAGAGGATGAACTTATACAGGAAGTCAAGACACGCAATACGAAGCTTATTGAGTTGTACGACCATCATTCTGTTTTGAACCTTTTTGGACCATTTTGGACTATTTTTGGATACTAATTTGTATATGTGTTGCTCTTCTTGTATACTACTTACTTATGACTTGCTATTATTTAGTCTCTCACGAGAAACAACAGTCCAACAACTTGTGGAATACGTTGTACGACAACCTGATGATACATCAGATGATTTACGTACAATTAAATATCCGTACATGTCCTGTGAAGTTATTTGCTGTGATATTTCAAGTATTACTGATACATTAGTCAGTGCATCGGATGGAAAAATTGTTGATGTTCTTTTTGAGTTTCTGTATGACACTCAAGAGGTGTTAGATCCTCGTTTAGCTGGATATTTTGAAAAGATTGTAATGATGCTCATGGTTCGTAAACCACAAGAAATGACGGCATTACTGAATAAAAATTCAGAAAAATTACTTGCTGGATTTGCTCGTCATGCAGCTAATTTTTCCATTGCAGAGCTACTTAAACGGCTACTTCAACCTTATCAGGCTGACTATATGGACGACTGTATGGATTTTCCTGGAATGTCGATGGGATTTTCGCCTTCAAACTCATGGTATGGAGGAGAAGATGACGATGGATTGAATGGAAACGAAACTCCCACGGCGTCCAAGGAAAAGATACTGACGTGGCAATCTGAGCCAACCGTTGTGGATCTGTTACTGACGACACTGGCAGACGTGAAGGCCGATAGTGACGCTCATAAACATGCATCGGATGTGCTGGTGGACATTATTCACTGCGGAACTCGTGCGCAACAGACGGATCCGGCCTCGCCTGCGAGTTCGAGTGCACCTGTATCATTCGCGCTGCTGGAACATTTGGAGACGAAGGAAGTTGCCGAAAAGTTGGTGGCGTTGGCCGTTCCTACCGATAGTGCTGCCGTCTCAAGTGTTTCTTCGATGGCAGGTGCAATTTTTGTGCTAAGTGCGCTCCTATCGCGTGCTACAAATGCACAGTACGCTGCCACGGATGAGGTACCACCTGTCGTTGCATGCACCATTGATCGTCTGCCACACATTTGCGCAATTCTCAAGGGAGAAGGAGTTGATGCCGGCACAATTCGTAATCAGCGTCGTCAAGAGGTCTCGCGCCTTGGACTGCGTCGATTGAAAATGGTTGGACTCGTTGTGCTATTGATGCAGTGTAAATACCAGAAGGTGGATATAGCGCTGCTTGAGCATCATGCTATTGGCATCTGCCTGGACTTGTTCTTTAAGTTTGAGTTGGTGAACATGCTCCACGCTGACGTTGAGAGCATGGTGATTGGCGTCTTAGAGAGTGGTAGTCACGATTTGCTGGTAGGATTAGTAAAGGATGCGCGTCTGCTGCCGCGCATCATTGAGGCTCACGAGAAAAATGATGAAGCGATTGCTGTCGCTAAGGGTTTTTCGCTTGGATACATGGGCCACCTCCACCGAATTTGCAACACGCTAATGACAATGCTGGATGATATGCGCGGTAGCACAAATGACGAGGGATCTTTAAACGAGATGCGACACGCAGATACAGTGCTGGAACTTTTCGAAGAGGACGAAGCCACGTGGAAAAAATGGGAGGAATTATCTGGCAAGGTGCTTGCCCCCATTTACGAACGTGAGCGTATGCCTCTAGGTGGTGTTACGGTTTCTCAGGGCGGCGAGGACCCATATTCGGTTATGGGCTTCAACCAGAACGACGAGCTTCTAAACGCACAGTTTGCCGAGATGTTAGGTGCTTCAGGTTTTGGTTCCGATCCCAGTGGCTTTGATACGGACTTTGACGTTAAGGACACTGACACACCCATGTTGCCAGAAATCATGAACGACAGCAGTAGCAGCGAGGATGAAGATGAGGACGAGCTTGCACGGCAGGAAAGTGCCCCTAAGGATAGCGAGGGCGGCGTGGGCACGGACCGATGGGCAAGTTTCGAGTCGGGCGGCAGCTGGGCAAAATTTGAAGGTACATTTGACAACATTCCATTTGAGCCCATTCCCGGCATGGAAAATGATGGATTCAATGATGATGAGTCTGTGCCACCTATTGTAACTACGGCAGATTTAGCTGTGCCCGCCGCGGCGTCTACTAAAGCCACTGCTGCTTCTACGAAAGAAGCGGCAGCAGAGAAGGCGCCGATAGAGACATCTGGAACGATGGAATCTACGACAACAGCGGAGACTGAGAAGGAAACCCAGACTATGGATGGCGCTAGCAGTTTGGAGAAAGCACCTAGTGCAGAGGCAGCGGTAGAAGATACTTCAGCGGATACTGCTGAACCCGAGGCGCAGGCGTGAATTGGCAGAGAATAGATTCGCTCTTTTGCAGGATGCAGCCACGCGGCAATCGCTTGTCGACCGACGCGTAAGCTACCGCTTCCGTATCATGCAGTTTCCTACAGGTTTTGTTAATCCCTCCACTCCAGTTGCTCCTCCTTCCATGTCTTGCACATTTCCTCGTAGTGTACGTGTAAGCAAACCGAGTAACCCATAGGCAGTATTAACGCATTTAGCTTGAGCAAGATTTTATCCGTGTGCACAGCTTGTTTCACTTTGTTGACGTTTAACGCCTTCGACGCTCTGTAGACCGTGATCGAGAAACCGATCGGCGTGGACTACGCTTCTGATCTCGCTTACGGCTCTTCCCTCTACTTCGACTTCGACACGGGCTGCGACCGCGGCTTCGGTCGGAGCTATTACTTCGCCGTGACCTTCGACGGCGTCTGTGCTGACTGTCTGGTGAGTTTGAACGACGGCTATGTTGACTGGTTGATCTTGACCTGCTGCGACTACATGAGAAACTTCGGTAAGGACTTCGTCGGTTTCTTTGACCTCGACTTGTTGATTGTGATCCACTCGCGCGCTGTGATGAGTCAGGATCACGGTGTGGAAGCGCTTCATGCTGCAACCCAGATGCGAGTGCAGCTACTACATGCGGTGCATTTGTGCCGTCGTCAGACGTTGACACGGCTGTTGCTGGTTGGAGCGGCGATGAAATTGGCGGGATATTGTTGCTTAATACAGTAGCACTGTCCACGACTTGCGTCCTCTGTTGTAATTGAGGCTCACCAATTGAATTCATTTGACTCGTTAAAGCCAATGAGACCGATGCTGGCGCGGGAGGTGTCGTTCGAGAGCTCACAAATGAAACGTCGGGTGGCGGAGGCTGTTCTAAAGCATCGGATTTCAACGTCGACTTCACAAAACCAGACCGAAACGCAGTAGACAACGATGTGGCGGAGGCCGACGCCTTCACGAAGCCGCGCATTCTGACAGATTTACCCCCTGCAGCTTTGACACTTCCAACGCCTGCAAAACCCAAACCTTTGCGTTGGTCAAACTTGCTCTTTTGGCGACTATCACTCCAACGTTCCAACTCAGCAGCGTCCTCCGCATCAAAATCATGATCTTTATTTCTGTCGTGAGATTCTTGTTCTTGGTGGTTTAATGGAACGCACTGCCTGTCTTCTATACCCTTGACACTGCCAGTTGCAGCTCGACCACGACGAAAGCGCGCGTCCCGTTTAGCTAAAGCAAGTAGCTCCAATGAAATTGGCTGTCCTGAAACGTCCATATTATAGACTAGCTGTGCAGCAAATTGTGCCTCGTTACGAGTAACCAGCGTATACGCAGTACCCAGCTCGAATCCTTCAAGCCCCATGCGTCCAGTTCTGCCAATACGATGCACATGCGTATCGATGTTTTTGGCCACATCAAAATTTACCACATTTTTTACATCCTTGACATCCAGCCCACGGGCAGCAACATCCGTAGCGACAAGAACACGACACTCGCCCTGTTTGAACTTCGCTAGCGCTTGCGCTCGTTCCTGCTGTGTTTTGTCACCATGCAAACAGAGGGCAGATGCCGCAGGAAAGGCCGTCGCCAAATTTTTTGCTAGCTCCTCACAACCAGCCTTGCTTCCGGCAAATATGAGCAAACGGCCTTCATCGACTAAATTGCGTATATGTGCCATCAACCAAGGCCATTTTGCCCCATGCCCTGGCAGTACTACAGCAATCTGGCGAATATCTTCGTTGGCTTGGCCAACCTGGCCAATTGTCAGCTTTACGGGATTAGTAAGCACATCTAATGCGAGTGACTCAATCCTCCTACGGAAAGTAGCCGAAAACATAAGTGTTTGACGATCTGGGCGTACTTGCCCCATGACCGAGCGCAACTGAGGCTCGAATCCCATTTCAAACATGCGGTCGGCTTCGTCAAGAACTACAAAGGTCACGCGATTCATAGGAGCCGTTTTCTTCCGGATCATTTCGATAAGCCTTCCTGGAGTTGCAACAACAACCTCAACACCTTTTTTCAATGCTTGAACCTGCTCCCACTTGCCAGCTCCGCCGTAAACCGCCGCACATGAAGCTCCATACACTGCCAAAAATTTCTTTGCTTGCACGTATGTCTGATGTGCGAGTTCTCTTGTAGGTGCCAGCACGACCGCAATAGGTCCTTCTCCTCTCTCCAATTCTCTTTGATCCATCACGTGACGAACCATTGGAAGCGTAAACGCCAAAGTTTTTCCTGACCCTGTCTTGGCAATTCCAATTAAATCTCTTCCTGATAAAGCCACCGGAAAAGCTTGCGACTGAATCGCTGTCGGAGCTTCCAGTCCAAGTTTCATAAGCATCTGCAGCATTTTTCGATCAAAACCAAGATGCATAAAAGACCTCACGGGTGCTGGGACATGAGTCCCATGCACTTTTACATTTAATTCAGCTCGAATTTGAGCCACTTGATGTTCGTCAAGTGCTGCCGTTTCATTGTGCAGTGTGTAAAATGTTTTCCTAAATGGTTCGTACTGGATCGTCGAATGGTCAATTGGCGTCAAAACTTCCATCACCTTTTTATCAAATTCTTCACCATTGTCAACCGCACTGTCCATTTGTTTTGCTGTCGCATAAACTTCTTCATCCGAGTCTTCCAAAGGCATTCGATGTATCTTTGTATTCTGAATATAAAATTCAACAAAATTAGACATACCTTCAATAAATCAATTCATCATTGTAACACGACGCTTTGTAAGTAATTTGTTATAAATAACAATGAAAACAAACCATAACGTAGTTTTCAAGATAAATATCAGCGTCATTATCCTCAAAAGTCAGCACTTGAGGTTTCTGTTCCACTTGTTGAAGCGATGCTGTGCTTTGTTGCGTCACTTGAGCATCAATCTCTTGCATAAACGCATCCAATGGATCAACCTGATTATCACTGATTTCCAAACGTCCTTCGCTCTCATTTTCACTGTCGTCTGCGTCAAAATAATCGACTAATTGAGTCTTGCGCCGAAGATATTCGCGCTCCATTGAAAAAAACAAAGTGGACGTAAAGAAAAGAAGACAAATAAAATACGCGTAATAAAAAATAAAATACATGACGCAGTGGTTGTTTTTAATTTTGTTTAAAAAACCATGAAAAGAACGTTTGATTGCATCATTTAACCGTAATTTAAAATGGCCGACACACTGCCGATCAAGAAGACGCCGTCTGACTTTCTAAAGGGAGTTTTAGGCCGTCCCGTGGACGTAAAGCTTAATAATGGCGTTCAATACAAGGGTGTACTTGCATGTTTGGATGGGTTTATGAATATTGCTATGGAGCAGACACAGGAGTATCAAAATGGACAGCTTAAGGCCCAATATGGAGACTGCTTTATTCGTGGCAATAATGGTAAGTACTTGTTCATATTAATCAGTTTGCTAGTAGTATGTATTGATTACAGTATGATATGAAATTGATTTGTTAAATGTATGATGATGATGGACAGTGTTGTATATTTCAGCACCGAAATAGTAGTACTTTGTTATTGCTAGTGACTTCTTTTTTTTCAATCAATCCATTGGAGTAGAGTGGTTTGGTTTGGTTTTGGTTGGATTTGACGACTGCAATACATGTATTACATGAAGAGATTGATTTTTTAGTGTCTTATATGTATATATATTATACGAATACGGAGTGATATTAATGGAATACTATGGATTAGTTGTCTTTGTAAGACATGTAACATGTATTTAGGCTAAGATAAACCTTGTATTTGAATGAGCTGGTCAGGGTTTTTGTTATCTACGAAATGTCATTATTTATTGAGTGAATACTAACGTATTGTGATGTTGTTTACGTATACATCTTTGCTTGAATAGCGCGTACATTGAAAATTTACAATGATGAATGAACTGTTTGTTTACAGAACCAATGGCTGGATTCAAAAACTTTGACGGCACGAAAAGGTGTCAATATGAAGCATTTGTAGCAGTCAAATGGACAGCGTCTAGCGAGTCGAAAACGCTTGAAAAAAGGTGTGCGTGATGTTCTTGTCAGATGCAGCGCGTGCAAATTTACAGCTCGTGACGTTGTTGGATGGGAACGCTACAGGAAAAATGAGAAGTAGAAGAAAACATCATGTTGGATTGATTGTACTATGTGCAGGTGGCAAGGATGGCCTATAAATGTAAGAGACCAATCGCATTCAGATCTAAAGCTTAAGTCATGGCGAGTTGTTCGAGCAATCACCAAATTCCTGCATTGCACTTTGTGTTGGAAACAGCAAAGCAAGAGATGTTGAGATGCAATTTCTCTCTCTCCAGCCGCCTTGCTCGGCTCTAAAGAACAAGACCTGCAAGAAGGTGTAACTTGTCTTTAGATTTTGAACGTCTTCCTGCCGTATATCTGCTTAAAGATACTAGTGCCGTTAATTATTGCATAGTGCGCGTTCCTAGATGCAGATTACAAGATCACGTTGATGCCACTTTATTTTGTCCAAAAGGACGAAGCGTTTACGCTCAATCTCGGCAACTGCATCGGCTCCAGACGCTCCTTAATCTTCTTCACGCATCCGCGATGGCACATCCGCAGCTCTTCGAATGTTGTTAGTGCTGGGTCGACTACAACTGATGTGTGCAGTAATTTGCCTGGATGATGTCGAAACTCTGTGGGAGGAGAACATCGACAGGCACCGGAAATTACAGTGTGCGTTAAGCTTGTGTGCAAATCTGGCTGCAAGAGTGAAAAGAAGCTTCCACCTCGACCTGCTTGTGAGCCGTTGCAAGCCTTGGAGCACGGGAATCCCTCCATGTTGAGATCACCAAAAGTCACGTAAGCATTTGAGGCATTCACTTGTCCGAATCGAGGTGTCGTTAGTCCCCACTTTGCTGTAATAAAAAGAGGAACAAGTGCGATATCGTTAGCAGCTACTTCTTCAGATGTTTGAAGCTAATTGTTTGATCTTCAGTGCATTGTACTACTAGGCTTACCATGATTCCCGTTTGGGACTCGACCTCCGACGAGTTGCCAAGTCAGATTCGCACTGCCATCACTCATGTGCCAGCTACCGACAATAAATAATACAGTAAGTACTAACAATAGTGTACAGATCGATCGATATCAAGCAGGTCCGTACGTGGCTTGAATAAGGTTTTCGATGTTGTATGGCGCAGATCCGTCTGCATTCAGCTCTACGCCTGTCAAACTTTCGTTTAAACAAAACATGTATGGAGAGTCTGCATAGACGTCACCAGCACAAATGGTTGGAATGCCGTAGCTACCATCCCACCACGAAGCCACGCTCACGTCCGAGTCAAGCAATTCGGCTACAAGTGCCCATGGCGGTACATTAGCACGTGGACTCTTGATAAGTACCAGAACTTCTTCGTTGGCAGCTCGGTTTGTGAATGTTTGTCCCTCAAGAAGTGGCTCAAACACTCGAGACCTTTCCATTTCCATTTCTTCAGTTGCACTCGACAATTTGAGTCGAAACTCAGCCTTCATCGGATCAGACGATTGTTGCTCCGGCAAATTTGGGTCGAGAAGCGCACGATAGAATGCTGCAGCACTTGAGTTCTCTTGTTTTGCCCCGTCTTCAAACAAATTGACACTGGCTAGAAGTTTACGCAGTGATCCATGTTGGAAAAAGTTTCCTGAGCACAGCCTTGCAAGCTGTAGCTTCTCTCCAAGCTTTTTCAACTCCCTATCTGCCAGTGACAAGGCCAACATATGCTGTGCAAACTGCACATTATTGTCTGTCTGACAACCAAGTTTCACGAATGAATCGTTGAGTGTTGGGTCTGGAAAATTTGGTGTTGACGTCTGTAAGAAGACCCCTCCACTGCCATCGTCCTGGAATACCACAGCTCCTTTAGCATGAGCACTGAACAAATCTCCACCTCCACAGATCCTTTTGTCATCACCAAGATTGACATCATTATCAGGGTAAAAAGCGCTAGCAATTCCATTAAGCTGGTCGTTGAATAATGCCCAGTAAGGCTTACTGTTGCGATCTTTCTGCTTAAGCGTCTGACTCACTGGGTCGTTGCCCCCTTGACCCAAACATTCATATCCAATCTCTCGAAAGTAGCGGAATATTGGATTTGTCGAGTCTGCGTAGAGATAGCAAAGCCCCGTCGCTCTCTTGTCTAGTGCTGTCCATCCACTTGTAGGGACATTGCTACAATTTGGAACGGCACAGTTGCATGGTGTAGGAATTACATGCGTCTTTACACCAGAGGGTGACTGCACATGAGATGGTAATTTGAGCACAGCCCACCATGCCACAGGACGACCAAAACCGTCTAACGCTTGGATTGACGACGTGCCTGATACTTGATCAATCATTAACAGGAGTAACATTACGACCAAGCTCACCATGGTCACTAAGTAATAAAGAGAATACAGAGAAGGAATGGTAACGAAAGCTAGTCAAATCTACCTAAAGCCTTCACTAACATCCAAGTGAAAAGGATTCAAGGCAAAAGTCGATGTCCAAAGTAACAAGCTGGTCAAACAATAAATACCGAGACTTTAATTCGACAACGACGTCCTACCATGTGGACCTTATGCTTGGTTTTCATCACTCAAAATTCCTATCTACACAGCACCTTAGATGGCACTGATCACGTGTGCTGCAACGATGCTGCCATACATGGGCTCTTAATCATAGAACCCACACTGCATTCACCAGCAACACACGCAGCAAACGGCACGTTTATAAAAAAAACTTACTGGAAAATATAACGTCTGCTCGCGTCGTTTAAATCGGCACGGATTGCGGAACACCGCTCATGGGCTTGAGCATCTTGACTGAGCGGTCAGTTGGAAATGCCGGACGCTCACTGCTCATCTTGCGCTTCTCCCCCACCAAAGGCTGCGATATAGGTGACTGAGCCAGTTGCTGCTGTTGCGGTGAAGGAAGCTGCTGCTGCAACGGGTAGTGCATTTCCGGCTGCGAAAGCATCTGGTTCATCATCACTTGTGGATGCGGAAAAGTCGGAGGCAAACCTCGAGATTGGCCATCGTGGTGATATGCCGGCGTGGGTGCGTACATTGGGTGGGTTGCCATTACGTTGTGCATGAGTGGGTTACTATTGTGAGTCATGAGCTGCTGCGGCTGCATTGACGTCATGTCAGACTGCGGGCTCTTTTTAGCTGATTCTACAGCACTTGTTGCAGCTTTGCGTTTCTGTCGGGCAAGCACACGGCTCGATCCAACTTCAAAGGACGTCGACATGCCTGAACCAATGCACGCATAGTAGCGGCGGTCACCAGCTACCATCTGCACGAAAGCCTCAAACTGCACATAGAACTTGACGTTGCGACGTTTACACTTGCCCTGCGCCATATCCTCCGTGTATTTCCAAACCTTGGGCTTGAACTCAAAGCAGGCGACGTTGATGTCTTGTTGTACAAAATCCGGGAGGCGTTCTCCCGTAATCCATTGGTCCTTCATCGAATCCATCTCATTCATCTCAATAGTGCGTCCTAGCATGCACTCCCTGATCACCGCTTCCTCAAAAGCTACTGGAATATTTTCTAATGAGTGGACGCGTCCAAGCAGTACGAGATCATCAAACGACATCGTGCTATTAAGTGTAACTTCTGTCACCAAACTGCCACGACATTTGCCCCACATGAAATCATGCTGCTTAAGATCTTCAATTTTGATTGCCGAGTAATCTCCAAATACTTTGCAGCTGGGAAAACACTGCAAGTTGCGTCGTCCATTTCTCCAGTATTTAAGTTTCAGCGGAGTTTTAACCTTAATCATAGCTTCCTGAGCCGTGCCAGCGCTACTTATAGCACGCACATCTCCATGCACTGATGTCTGAGGTTGCTGGTAATTGTCCACTTCCTTTTTTGTCACCATTGTATGAGCATCAAGCAACGTAGGAAATGAGTTATTGGGCAACATTGTATTTGGCATGGAATTGTATATCGGGGTTCCCGTTGTTCTGGGAAAGTGAGGCTGGGGTAGTTGAGTAGCAGCTATGTCAGGATGATGAAAACCTCGAGGCTCCAAATACTGAGCATAAGTATTCAATCGTTGACCAGAAGAACAAGTTGGTGGCGTGTAAACTGGTTGAGATCCATACGAATCATTATAGCTAGAGGCAATGATCGTTGACGAACCTCGTAGCCCGTCTTCTCGGTGTGGAGGTGAATACTTGCGACTGTACTCAAAAGGCAGCGGATCGGCCGCATAATCTTCGGATGTACAGGGACACGGCTTAGCGAGAGGTTGGTACTGCATCCCGTACGAGAGGAGAGATTGAGAATACTGTGGTGAGTATTGCTGATGTTGCATCGAGTAGGGGATTTGATAAATGCGGTCCATTTGCTGCGTCCCCGCGTTGGGCTTTGTGTCCTCTGGGCTAGTGGGACTACGGCCTTGTGGCGGTGTTAAAGCAGTATTGGATGAGGACATCGATCCAGAGGTTGCAGAGGGCGGGGCGTACAATTGATTAAGCGTCATACCGACAGCCATTGCACGTGAGTATTTAGAACTAGAGCCAATTAGATGCGTAAAATTTGATGTAAAAATTTCTTTCAAGACTTGATCTTGGATATTGAAAATCAATAGTGCGAGGAAGGGTGGAAAAGCGAAATGAGCAATACAAAGAGCGGTCGAGTCTGGGCCGTTCCTGGTTTTTGTACCACGGTGGGTGAGCGCACCATCCACGTCATCCCTTTGTATAAGGAACCAAAAAATGAAGGTTTCTGACTTTTTGGGTTGCTAACTATGGACATCTTTTTGTCTTATATGTTAAATGAATAGAGATCAAGTGACATGAGGTCTCTACTAAATAAGAAGATACATACATATAAAAGATAGTAAAATCCTTGTTAACGTTACAATGACTAGTAATGTTGAGTGAATAGCAGTAGTATTCGTTCTACAAGTCCAACCTGGCCTAGTGTCCAAATAACGTCCTGCCTGCGTGCGCAGGCGGCTGTACTTGCGTACCCGTACAAGCGCGTGCGCGGCTGCTGATAGATTGAAGAATTACAAAAGACTCTATTCTTTAACAAGAGTGCTGACTCGTCGCGCGGGAGGGTCCAGGGTGATTCGATTGAAAAAGACACACGCTTCTGCAGTGCCCCTACAACAAGGTTTTACTGACCAGATCCTTGTTAATCTATACAAGCGGCAACTTTTTCAGTGTCCTATGTGATTGTAATCCATACAATTTGAACAACATTGCCGAGACAAATCTGTAGTCGCTCGGTGTAGTCACCAGAGTAGTCAGATCCGCTACTACTGAATGCATAGTGGGATCCAGTGACACAGGCGGTTGTCGATCGTATGAGTCGGCACGGCAGTCATTCGGTGTAGACAGTAGTAGCAAAGTCTTCAAGCTCGATTGTATATGCATGAACATCGTACTGCTACAATGTGACAGCGCGACTTAGCAGCCAAAGTGTCCAGCAAAGGATGTTAAATCGATTGCAATCTCCACTGCAGGTTAACGTCAAGTGAACCGAGCACAGTCGTAAGCGAAAGCAGTGGGAGGCTTCATGATGGGTAGGACTTTTCGTACTGTACTGTGCGGTACGGCACTTCAAGCCGACTGCCGAGGGAATTTAGCACGAAGAAGGGCGTGGCGATGGTACACTTCTATAAGCGACTAGCCTTTGCTGGATTTCATGCGATCCTCCCGCCGTCTTGTCGCCATACCTTCCATATTTCTTCATCATGACGGCGATAAAGTCATTGCAGGAAAGCGCTTATCATAGTGTTTGGCTGTGGCGGCACAGGCTGTGGTGCTTGCTATCTTGCTCCGGTGCCGCGCTAACGAGCCGATTAGTGTAACACGCGAAGCAACCGTGGGAGCTGCTACAGCTTTTTGTGTTTGGCTTGTACTCCCTACGCTCGGGATAGTCGATGTGCATCCCACCTCTTGCATATCAACGTCACAGTCTCGTTTACAGCCAAAGATCGAGCCCGTCTGTGAGCGGCTGCATGTCGGCAGGTAAAGCCAGAGTGTCGTCACTTTTGCTGACAAAACGTGCGTCTCCGTTTACAGCAACACTCACATCAATATTAAGACATGTATACATGTAATTAAGCCGCAAATGGCATCGACGCCGAAGTGATGTATATCTAATACAGGCTGGTCTCTGCTCCCTAAGTGGAGCCAACACGATGTGTTGCTTTCTGGCGACATAAGGCCATTAGCTTACACCTGCGTTAGGGGGTTTGCCAATAGGGTCGTGATTGTACGCAGCTGGGACCTGTAGCAGAGGTTTCATCTTGTCGTGGGTCACGAGGTGTTATCACGCTGCTGTTTGCTGGCCTGTGGGCAGACGTGCGGACGTGGGTTCACGATTGTTAATTTGTTTGGTAGCGTCGTCTCCTGCATAAACTTTCATTCATACAGGGATATATATGGACAATCTATAATACATGGATGTATCTGCTGGACAATCTCTTATACGCTGTATCAATAAGATGAGCGTAGGAGTGGCAGGGCTAAGGGGTGGAACAAAGTGGGCAACGCTGCTTGACCACGCTGGAGACGTTAAAAAGCTCAGCGCCACGTCCTGACCGTAACAGTGGGACGCGTTGTCAAGATGGCCACATGGCTAGACTATTTAGCATTTTGTGTATTGCTAATCGCATGTCAGGTAACGTAGCGATACGCACAGGTAGTGCGTGTGTGTTCCGTTGGTGTTTGAGGCAAGACCCACGTGGCAGTAGTGGACGCAAATAATTTTCCAGCTCAGTGATAAAGATGCAATTGCTTTCTTCTCAAATGTGCAGACATTACACAGAGTTTTTGTGTAATGTGCGTGGCGGTCAAGAGCTTTCGCTAAGATTGGGGGCAGGGTCCGTTTTTGACACACTTTGAGATTCCAATGATATCGTCATTTTGGTCATTAAGCTTCTCGCATGTCCAGCTTGTCCATTGGCCTTGATCCATGAGCATTTCATGCATTGCATTATGTAATGCATGAATGCAAACTTGGTGCATCGTGAAGTCACAAAACTCGATGCAAGTAACCCATGGCCAAGTCCGCGTCCGAGCAACAGCGACAAAGGCCAAACACCGGCTCGAGTTTACACAGACACCGGCTCGAGTTTACACAAGTGAGTTCTTTGTAGGAGTTGATGCGTCACGACGGGTGTCTCGGTTGGCTATACTGCTGTCATTCTCACTTGTTTATTGTGTTTGCTGATTTAATTCTTCTTTGACAATATTTGGCTGCAACAGTCTTTCATTCGTCACCCGTGCCTACGAACGCCGATGGTAAAGCAGTTGACGCTTGTTCAAAGAGTGGAAAAGACACATACCTATTGCAATGATAAATCTGACAATCGTTTCTTACGAAGGTTACCATCTACTCATTGTGCTAAGCAAAAGATGTTCTGTCTGCTTCGAGATGATCGTTTTGGCAGCTTTGCGCGTCCCCTGTTTCCAGCTACATTATGTATGACGATCACCATTGACCCCTATCATGTGCATTATTTGACTAATGTTGCCTGTGGATCAGCTTTCCTACGCTGCCATGACTTTTGTCATACCTATATATGCCTTGAGAAACATTTGTTGGTGAATCAGCTATCATGCATTGCTCTGGTGGTCATACCAGTAAGGGATCCAAAAATGATTCAATACGATCCAAACATTAAGGTGAGCCCTTCTTGGCCTATTTTGCAGAGGTTGAGATAGAATCTAAGCTTGGTTTTGTCAGATTTAGGCAATCAAAACAACATGAAGCAGTCAATAGTGGATCAAAACAACATTGAAGCTCGACCTAGTTTACTAAGTCGACGTTTGTGGCCAGCAAAAGATGTCGATGTAAAATGCATCCATCCACCTGTCCTTTGATCTTGCCCTCCTGACTTTCACGTTCTTTTTCAATCCTATCTTCGAAAGCCTCACGAGAAACACCAATTCATTCCAATGCGTTGGTAAAGCAATAGATACTGCAGGCTAAATGATACGGAGGTAATACCAGTCGATAGTTGTAATTACAAACTAATTACCGCAAAGGCCTTTAACTCGGATTTTATAAACTCCTCCTTAAGCAATACTTCTCTGTATGAGTTTACAAATGACACCATTGATGCAGCTCCATCCTCAAAGCCATTCAAAGGACATTTGTGTGACCAAGCAACATGAGTCGATGCACATTTTGACCTTGACATGATACAATGAAGCTTACCAGTATACCTAAGGCCGGCCGCAGAACACTGAATCCAGCTCAAAGAGTCAAGCTTCGAGAACACTATGTGCAGAATGGATGTGGGACGCTGCTGCAGGTGGTGCAGGTTGTGTGTGATGCCCGACTACGGTGTAGTGTCATCTACGTAGGCGTTAGATTTGTAGCGCTGACTGTTCTTAGGAGTCTATGATGGCATTGGAAATTTGAGATTGCTTTGCTATGTCCACAATAGACGTGTGAGATGCAGGAGCGCCAACGCCAACGTCTTGTTCTGAGTTGAATTGCAACATTTGTGTTGCAATAATGCCGACACAAGAGGTTATAGAACGCTAAAGTCTAGCAAACGAAAGTATTTCTATGAGATGGGGCTGAAAATGACAGAGACGCAAAGACAAAGACACGGTTTCGTTTGTCTCAGGGCAACCTGCATCTCGTCAAAGGAATAGAAGCTTAAATTTTCCTCCTGATGCATGTAGATTTACCATGAAGCCTCGTTTTTCTTCCGCAGTACTAACACTTTAAACAGTTCGACGCAAATACCCGTTGTCTCTTTGTTCTTAGCAGATAGGCATCGAGAAGGCGACAAAAAAGCTTTTTTTTTTTTTTTTTTTTTTTTTTTTTTTTTTTTTTTTTTAAAAATTTAAAAAAAAAAAAAAAAAAAAAAAAAAAAAAAAAAAAAAAAAAAAAAAAAAAAAAAAAAAAAAAAAAAAAAAAAAAAAAAAAAAAAAAAAAAAAAAAAAAAAAAAAATAAAAATAAAAAAAAAAAAAAAAAAAAAAAAAAAAAAAAAAAAAAAATAAATTTTAATTTTTTAAAATTTTTTTTTTTTTTTATTTTTTTTTTTTTTTTTTTTTTTTTTTTTTTTATTTTTTTTTTTTTTAAAAAAAAAATTTTTTTTTTTTTTTTTTTTTTTTTTTTTTTTTTTTTTTATAAAAAAAAAAAATAAATATTAAATATTTTTTTTTTTTTTTTTTTTTTTTTTTTTTTTTTTTTTTTTTTTTTTTTTTTTTTTTTTTTTTTTTTTTTTTTTTTTTTTTTTTTTTTTTTTTTTTTTTTTTTTTTTTTTTTTTTTTTTTATTTTTTTTTTTTTTTTTTTTTTTTTTTTTTTTTTTTTTTTTTTTTTTTTTTTTTTTTTTTTTTTTTTTTTTTTTTTTTTTTTTTTTTTTTTTTTTTTTTTTTTTTTTTTTTTTTTTTTTTTTTTTTTTTTTTTTTTTTTTTTTTTTTTTTTTTTTTTTTTTTTTTATATTAAATAATTTTTTTTTTATTTTTTTTTTTTTTTTTTTTTTTTTTTTTTTTTTTATTTTTTTTATTAAATATTTTTTTTTTTTTTTTTTTTTTTTTTTTTTTATAAAAAAAAAAAAATATTTTTTTTTTTTTTTTTTTTTTTTTTTTTTTTTTTTTTTTTTTAAAAAAAAAAAAAATATATAAATTATTTTTTTTTTTTTTTTTTATATTTTTTTTTTTTAAAGTTTAAAAATTTTTAAAAAAAAAAAGTTATTAGTCTCTTGGAGACGTGGTTGTTTGCACCCAAAAGGCACAAGCTTGTAAAGCTACCCTTTGGAGGGTAAAAAGAACGATCTTGAAGCTAGTCTTCCCCTGCCACTAAGGGCCTAAGTAGCTAAGTTACGGTAGCTCAGCTACACCTGGTAGCACTTGTAGTCAATCCTGCACCTGGGTTTGCGACTACTTCTCTGTGAGAGAATGGACATCGATGAGATGTCAGCGGGTGGCCTGTCACAGGCACGACAGGAAAGGTCGCAAAAGATGCTTCCTATCCCTGGCCCTAAGGGCGTGGAATACCTCATCGTCCAAGGCGATGAAGAGATTAACAAGCGTATTCATATGCTTGATGTATATAATAAAGCTCTAGTCGAGCATGTAAAGGCACAGATGCCTCCTCTGCGCCTTCGTCCATGACGACTATGGCATAAGAAGTGGTCCGCAGACCAAAACCCATACATATGGAATTCGACAAGTTCGACGGCAAAGAAGGTGACAACCTTATGCTGTGGTTTCGGCATATTGAGCCGGCTGTGTTTATTGCCGACATCACCTACGAACCGTACCGTGTAGGCTTTGCCACGGGTAAGTTCTGTGGCTCAACCAAACAATGGCCATTCACATGTGGTGCATCACTTCAAGATGCTTTTCCCGCATGGGCCGATCTGAAAGTTCAGATGACCCAGCAGTAGGCACCGCCAAACCAAGCACACCGTGACCGGGCGGGGTTTTCGGCGTGTCGCCAAGGCAAGCGTGAGCTTGCGGCATATGTACAAGAGTTGAGAGCTCTCATTGCTCATAGACCCTATGCCTGAGGCAGTGACCGTCACGGTCTTTATGAAGGGCCTCTGAGTTAGCGTTGCCAGAACGGAAGTCTTCCAAGTAAACCCGTCCTCATTTGAGGAAGCTGTTGGAGTGGCATGGATTGCCGAGACCAACGTTAAGGCCACTAGGCCTGCCACTTATACAGTGCATGACACTTCAAACCAGCAGCTTTATTGGCCCTGCAAGAATTGCTAAGGCTTGGCCTGAATACATATTACACAGAAAAGAAGCCTTTGGGAACAAAGAGTATGCCCTAAGCTTCCCTCCACAAGTCTCAGATTTTTATTATCTCAATTATTCAGTAGCATCGCAAACGTCTTCTGAATTTTGGCATTTAGCGTAGGCCGGAGAGAAATTGGCCGCCTAAAAAATCAAGGGTTTTTATCCTGACAAATATTTTTTGCGGGACCAACCTCGTGTTGTGGTACCTCATGATGAAGACCTCAAGTATTAGATACTTAACGAGGATCATGATACGCCGCTTGGTGGTCATGTAGGTCGTAAAATACCTACAGCTCGATGAGCACCCATTATTGTCGGCCCAAGTTGTAAAATTATGGATCGTGTGTTTAGACAACGCGGATTGCCTGTGGCAATCGTCTCTGGTAGAAATCTTCGTTTTATGGGAAAGGTCTTGGTTGTCAGTCATTAAAGTGCTGGGCACTAGACTGTACATGTATATAGTGGATCATCCACAAACCGATGGGTAGACAGAACAACGCGAGAATCGCGTTATTAGTCATACACTTCCAGTTTTTTGTGTTGAAACACCAAAGAAATGGAGCCTAATGCCTCAACTCATTGAGTTTGCGTTTTATAACGCTGTGCATGCCTTGACCAGCTACATCCCGCCCTATATGAACAATGTAGTTAATCCTCAAGTTTTGCTAACGCTACTTTCTGCCTCATCAGGGCTTTGTAGGGGATAGAAAGTCGAAGGCTTAGCTCATATTGGCTCTGTTGCGATTTGCAAGAAAGCGGAAGTATTTTTTAACGTGCTATAACATATTACGCCGCCTTAAAGACGATATGGCTGAAAGTCAGGATGTTCACAAGGAACAAGCAGATGCCAAAGGCAAAAAAAACGATCACGAGTTCAATGTGGAAATTTTGATCATATTAATCAATGAAAATTTATCTACTCGTGCAGCTGAACCTTCTTCTGAAGACGCAAACGCATCATGTGTCCTAGGTAAGATTACTGAAGCCATGGATTAACTCAGACTAGGTGTATATGGACGCTGGAGGTGTACCAGGAGGTCAATTTGACACCGTAACTTAGAGAGAGAACGCTCAATCGCTGCTAAGAGATCAGAGGCCTCAGAACGATAAATGCTTAAAGGAGCGATAATGTCAATCGACTTATTCGCCGAGCGATGACAGGTGAAACGTCATCGACCGAAAAGCAACACGCTTTAGGATTGTCAGAAACGATAGATCTCAGAGAAATAATCAATTGATGCAAAATATGAGGCGCTGTTTTGCTGTGCAAAACGACGCATGATCTGTATACATCACAAATGGCTTTATACCCAAAAGGTGCACCCTGAACTTAACAAGAGCATACTCCATAGCAAGTGGCTTTCTATCATGAAGTAAACAATTCTTTTCCACAGCATTCGGCAGACGAGATTCAAACGCGATGACGCAGTCTTGAATTTCAGCCTCTACTTATAGTCAACGGCAAATTCAGAAGCGTCACACACGACGCTAACACGACGGTCAGAATCAGTCAAATCCAGATTGGCGACTCAAAGAGACTTTTTTAATGGATTTAAAAGCTTCGTGGTGCTCGGTGCTCCAACACCATTCCACATCCTACTTAAGCAGATTGGACATGGAGCAAGCCACTTCCGCATAGTTGTTACTTAACTTGTGCAAGTAATATGCCGACCCAAATCACTAGCGCAAGTCCTTTTCGTTCCTCGAAACCGGCCAATCCACTATGGTTCAGACCTTCACAAGACCTGTCCGGATTCTTGCTTTCCAATAAAGTGTGGTGAAGTGGTTTCTCAAAATTGCGTAATGAGACCCCAAGCCACTCACTGTGCCGGACTGCTGACTGTCGGAGAGGGTACCCCGATGCCGCGTGTAGACCTTCTCTCACCTTGTGTACCCGTCGGCTGGCAGGTTGCACTCTTCGGAGGACTTGGTTGAGATGTGATGTCGGCCTTGAGAGAGGTCGACCTTGGGGTGCCTTGAGTGGATATACTTCACTCAGTAGGCGGGTAGGTGTCCACTTGGTTGACTAGGTCGAGGGTGGACTTATAGCCAAATTCTCCAGGGCAGATTCTCAAACCCTGGCCTTTCCTTCCTTTTCCTTGATATCTCAGGGGCGTTAACCGCCTGGCCTTTACTTGCTCCCGGACCACTAGGGAAGGGAGACCGCTTCCGATAGCGAATTGATTGGGGGTGCTACTCAGACAAACCCGCAGGCCAAATATATATCCTGGGGCTCTATTCTCACTTGGGTGTTACCACACAACTGTCTTCGACGGGGGGGGGGGGGCAAAATATATCCTTTCCCGGAACAGGTGGGTATGCATAGTAAGTACTTTGGAAGCACGACGGAGGCGTGCTATGTAGATCGCAAATTGTGTAGTATTTAATATTGTCCTATATTTTGACACCTTTACTCTATCTTTACCCCGAGACCTGATTTTTGATTTTGCTTGGCTATGGTATGTCGACCGAGAGATGGAGAGGCCGAGAGTTCAGAGATCGAGGGATTGAGAGGCCGAGAGTTTAGAGATCGAGGGATTGAGAGGCCGAGAGGCTAGGGACCGATGGGCCGAGAGTCCGTCGACCAAATGCCCAACGTCTATCGACTGAGGACCGAGACCATTGATGCAGGACCAAGGTTGACCTTAGGGACAGGGGCCGAAGGTCCGCCGACCGAAGGACCCAGGTCTACCTTTATGATAAAAGGGGTCTATCAATAATTGACCAGGGCATACCTCGAGGAACCGCGGTCCATCGAGCTAACCGCAATTAACACTCATGAATGGCGCTATGTAGCACGCTTTGACTGCTCATTATTCTCATCCAAAGGTCGTGCCCCGTCTCTCTATACCTTACATAACGTTCGCTCCTCCTTGGCGGGTCCCCTTCTCTTTGACCCGACCGTCCTCTGACCAACCAATTCTTAACCCGCATCCCCACAAGAAGATGTCCTCACTCCATATAGTTAGCCTCAATCGGCCACCTTCTCTGGGGCGTTTCCGTCAACGTCAGGAATCTGTATATCTTCCGACTTGATACTCGTTAATGAAAGGTCTACCTCCTGTAGTATCCCACCCTTGGCTTACACCCTCGGCTCAGAGCTCCCCACTTTCGAACGTGCACATTTGATCATCCGCCTGCGGAGATTTAAAACCGGCTCCTCACATTATCCCATCTGGTCCACCTGGTCGACCGGAAGGTCCACCAGGTCGACCAGAGGGTCCACCTGATCGACCATTATCTGGAATACCATAGTCATTACTGGAAAAAACTACCCTTGGTTGCTTAAGTATTCTAGATAAGTTACTGTACTGTCGTCGAAGACAGTTGTGTGGTAACACTCAAGTGAGAATAGAGCCCCAGGATATATATTTGGCCTGCGGGTTTGTCTGAGTAGCACCCCCCCAATCAATTCGCTATCGGAAGCGGTCTCCCTTCCCTAGTGGTCCGGGAGCAAGTAAAGGCCAAGCGGTTAACGCCCCTGAGATATCAAGGAAAAGGAAGGAAAGGCCAGGGTTTGAGAATCTGCCCTGGAGAATTTGGCTATAAGTCCACCCTCGACCTAGTCAACCAAGTGGACACCTACCCGCCTACTGAGTGAAGTATATCCACTCAAGGCACCCCAAGGTCGACCTCTCTCAAGGCCGACATCACATCTCAACCAAGTCCTCCGAAGAGTGCAACCTGCCAGCCGACGGGTACACAAGGTGAGAGAAGGTCTACACGCGGCATCGGGGTACCCTCTCCGACAGTCAGCAGTCCGGCACAGTGAGTGGCTTGGGGTCTCATTACGCAATTTTGAGAGCCCACTTCACCACAATTGCAAGACCCCTGACAGGTAAAGGGCTACTTTACCTGAGTGGCAACATGTTGGCAGGTGAGAACAAGGCATACGGACGTCGTCTGGGACCAGGGACACATGGTGATAGGCACGCTGTATGTGTACCAGGTGTACCTTGAATAGTTTAAGTTGCAGTGCTGGTCATCCGATTGCATATGGTAGGATTGACAACGAAGGATAGCTAACACTCGTATATTTTACTTTTACTTCCTACTTTTACTGCACAAGTGCAACTACGTCTAACAGTAACAAAAACAATAGCAATAACAATAGCTCTTCCAGCTGCTGCAAGAGAAGACACAACCGTGAGTTCACACGGCTGATAATTTTGCCACGGATCAAGGACTTGGCGGACAATCCCAGTGAATGCAGGATGATGAGTTTGTACCATCCACTAGTACAAGTTCCTTCTCCTTCATATGAGCATATATTACGTCGTTATAAATACGCAGACAATCGTCCACGATTGTGTTTTGGTTTAAGAACTCGTAGACTCAAGTAATGCAATATGGAAAGTATACGAATGCAAAAATGACATTGGTGTGTACAAGCCTAGCTCTGATTAGTCTGAGGCAGGATCTGCTGCTGATGTCTCTGCCAATGCGGCATATCTAAATAATCCTAAGACAATTGAGGACTTCAAGACATTGGACAAGGCAAAGCTCTTCACGCAGAAGGTACTAGGTGACATGTTCCTGGATGCAAAAGGACTGGAAAATCTGAATGAATCGGGTGTTTTATCCAAGTGTAAACTTACCGCGAGACGCCCGTAAGATGTAACAGCCAGGCAGCTATTAAGTTGGGCTCACTGGCTAGTAGTAAATCCTCAGACTTTTACGTGTTGAAAGTAGAGTCACCTACGTTTAGACATAATTTGTTTATACGGCCGATGACACGATTCGTATTGGCATCTTACTTGTAGCATTTCTATGATATTTTGACTAAAAATGCTGGCCGATGACAACCAACGTGCTTTTGCTAACTGACGACATCTGTGCTTCATTTGTGCGTGTATGTGCTCGACTCCTGACAGTACATTGACATCGAGACATTGTTGCATGTTGTATTTTTCTGGAGTCCCTGGTAGAGGTGGGTGGCAGAGGTGGGTGGTAGTATATTCAAGGTAACAACCTGGACGCTCTCAGCTCGATGCAAATTAATGCCTCATCACCGGACTACAAGGATGATTTCGTCACGATTCCATTGCGTTCCAGCGCCCCCAACCATGGTAAGCCTTCCGCAGCAACCCTGCAGTGGAGATAGTCCCACAACTAGCTACGTGACATCCTTGAGGATCCGCATAGGTCTAAGAATAATCATATGTCGTGAAGACGTCTGCTTGGGTGAAAGACAAGCACGTTGGCACCTCTTTCTTGTCGGTAAGTGAAATACTTTTGGTTTTACCCTGGCTTACATTAAGAGCTGTCACAACGCAGAGAACGCCGTTTCTGTGTGCGCAAGATGCAACACTTGTTATTGTAGCATTTACCACAAAGCCTAATTACGAAGGTATGTCGATGAATGTTGACCTTGAAAATACTACAATTGCTCATATGGTTTGAATGAATAAGCCGTCAAAAAGACTAGTCTTCCTTATACTCGTCTCCCATGGTCTCCTCCATCATGCCTTTCAGTTCCAATCTATCGTCACCATACCAAGAGTAACCCATCAGTTCAACACACTCACACTCACAGCTCAGTCAATTTACAAACCGAATTTCAGACACTTCATCGCCCTGTAGCACATCTTTGACAAACTGCGCTTCTACACGCATTTGTACCATCTCAAGAGCTCCTTTCAGTACACCACACAGTACATTTGAGTACCACAGTACACCATAAGCACTCGGTGGTAGCTCCACAAACTCTATCATTGACAAAAACGTCGCAAAATCCTCAAAAAAAGCTCTTAAAACTTGACATTTTTACGTCACTTGAATTTACCTGTAAGTGGGTTGTCATAGATAACTAGACTGCATGCATTACCCTCTGTGTTCCATTGCGACACGTCCACATTAATACCCAGAAACATTTTAAATGCCACTTTTGCAACCACCTCCGCCGTCTCTTTAAAATCCTGACATTTTGTTACGCCCGACTTGGCTAAGAATTCGTCCACTAGTCGGATGCCAATGTTGTACCCCCTATCCACAGACACAAAAAAAGGTACCACGTATGGTTATTTCATGTCAGAATAGATGGATAATATTTACTTGAATCATAGATTTTTGGATTGGATTTTTTCCAAACATTTTGTCAAGTTGCTCGTTCACGACCTTGAGGTCCTCAAAATCCTTAATAAGTTGTGTCACAAGTGAGCCATATGTCAACGCAAAGAGCTCACCGTTCTAAGCGAAACAAGGGAGATAGAGAGTAAGTAAGTAAGTAAGACAATCAATATACAAAGAAAAACAATAACAACACACCACTTTTGGCATTTTACTCCAGGCAGTGTCGCCGGGATGTGGCGTCGACATGTGATAATATCAAGTGATATGGTTAATAGGAAAAAGTGGATAGAGGATATTTGATTGAAACCTTTTCTCTCGAACTCGGATGAAATGTGTAAAATACGTGAAACCAGCAATAAAACCTCAAATTCTAGGATTTTGTTACTTTTAGAAACATCATTTACTACTGGCTAATGACTGATTTAGACAAAAACATACTAGTGAAATATAATATACTTCTATTCATACCAATTCCTCTGTAAATCAATATCACTTTTGCTCATGAAGGAGAAAACGTGTCCTCATTTCATCAACATGGACAAAAATAGTACTAGACAAAGTGAAAGCGATCGAGGAAAAGGTACGGAAGGAAAGAAAAAGAATGGGAATATACAACATAGTGGTAAGGGAAAGAAGAAAGAGAGCGATTGTAGTATACCAGTTCTTGCTATTGGTTCAAAAGCTACAGTAGCGTCTATATTGCATAATGTATCCGAAGAAAGTAGTAGTATGAATTCCAGTAGTATGAAAGATCCGTTATTGGTTAATAATCATAAAAAGAAACGCAAACGAACCAATAAGAAACCAGTGGGAGCAACCACTCGAATGTTGAAGCGTCCAATTATTGCAAATGTACGTTCAATATTTTATTTTTGTTTATAAAAGTTTCTAACAAGAAAATTGATATGAAAATAATTGTAGTCTTCTTCGTCTTCTTATTGCTCCTATGGACAGATGGAGAAACAAGGATTTATACCCAAGAAGAAAGAAGTGACGACGAATGATCATGTATCGGCAGTAATAAAGACACGTTCACGTAAGATGACGACCAAGAAAAAACAAGTCAAACCAGAAGAAGTATCTGCTGCAATTGTGGAAAAGATGATATTGATGAATGAGATCCAAGAGACCAGTGATGTAGCTGATACTTTGAAGCAGATGGACGCGTCAGTTAGAAGAACAGTGATGCAACAGGTGCATGAGACTGATGTTATAGTAGCGAGTACACCAAAGACAAGGGATGAAGAAATTACCGCTCCATGGTCTGATGTGATAATGACGAAGAAAATGATTGTCAATGCAGCATCTAGTCCTCATCTCGCTGCTTTCGACGAGATATCTACATTCTCAAGACCAGCAGCACCTGATGCCTTGACCATAGATCCTGTTGTATCCATTAAGCCAACAATTACTGCTTCCGTTGGTGCAAATCTGAACACGGTTTGTGCAACACCAGTGCTTCCAAGGTCAGTGACAGCTAAGCCAAGTAGCACTGCGTCAGATTTAATCATGACATCTCCTTTGGGCGACAGTGCTTTTACACCACAACAAGGAGCAGCTACACGGCTCGTATCAACGGCGCTAGCAGAATATAAGGTCACTGGTGATCATGAGCGACAGTATTCTATGGATCAGGTGTCTAAAATCTACGAAACCGATCTGTTGCAGCCACCTACAAAACGAATTGCAACTTTAAGCGATAATGCTGACGTGCAACTCGAAGCCAATGGGCCTAGTGAAGCGCAGTCGTCTGCTGATGGAGAACGTGATGGCTTGAACCAATTGCCAAACTCATCAAGACATTGCGCAGCACCACAACCAGCAGATACTCCCGTTCCTGTACAGGAAGCTTACGAGTCGGCAAGAACGGATTTTGGGGAACAGGCGACACCTTCAGTAAATGTGGTGTTACGTCCATTTCAATCTGGTTCAGCAAATCATAGCAATCAAGAATCAGTAAACTTGCACTGTGCAATTGCGCCGCAGGCCGGCCAACTATCGTTAAACATGACGCCTGCCGAGCCAGTCCCTGAACAGAGCACCTCGTCAGCGCAAACCCAAGCCCCTTCGAGTTTTTATAACAATTTCCAGCCATCAGTCGATCAGCGCGAATCGGGAGCCAAAGCAATAATCTCTACTTCTGCCACAGCTCCAAGCAAGGTTGGAGGATTGAACCTTCAATCTATGGCGGCATTACTTGAAAGTACTGTGGAGACAAAAGAGGTTGACATTGTCAAAGATAGCCACAAGTGCGTGCAGGAAACGAGGAGTGGCAACTTGGAAACGAGCAGTCGCGGCGAATCCAGTCTCACACAGCCCGTGCAATCAATGGTAAGCTTACCTCTGTGTCCTCACAATTCTTGGGGTGCGTCATTTGGTATGGCTTTTTCAGCTCAAGGTGCGTCCAGTGTATCGCGCACGCTATCGACTACGCCATTGAGCTCCTGGTTCCTTTCAAAAGGTTGTGCAAATTTTGTGAAACAAGTTCATTTTTCGGATAACGATGGTGCTGACGATAGCAGTAGCAGTGAAGATGATGTTCCATTCACCCGACTATTATCCAGCTCAAATGGAGCCGACAAAGCGTTGCAAAAAAGGAAAGCTTCAGTGACGAGGAAGAATGCATTCCTCGAGTCGCTTACAACTCAGACCTACTGGCGCACTTGGTATGGTACGGTTGACTTGCACAATCTGTTAGATCCGCCGCTAGCCCATGTTCCTGACGAACTACGCAGCCATGAAGTAACCCCGCTCCCGCTTTGGTTGCCAAGCAGTGAAAGCGATAACAAGAGGTCTGTGAAGAAAACGAATAATCTTGAACGATTGGAGACTGACATCAGGTATAGTTGATATTCTTGTACGTATTCATGAGATCAATCCGGGCAACTAATTCATTGTGTGTGTGGCAATGCGTGAAGACAGGAGAAGCAACAAGCCTCAGCATTCAGCAAGCAGCTACTTATGATGCTTCAAGGCAAGACCGTGTCTGGCAAAAGGTTTGAGGACGAGTACAGCTCTTTCTTGCAATGATATTATCAGTGTCGCATGATAACAAGTACGCTCACTACTGAAGCTTGAACCCTCGTCCGTAAGGTCTTTTATGGCTGGATACCATTGCTAGGGTCGTATTGTATGCATTTCTCTGCGTAAACGTGAGTTTTTGTTGATTTGAATGAAGTGTCGAGTCAAATTGCACCTACAGAATGAGCTTAAGCGATTACCGGTGATAGAAAACAAATCAAGGGACACTATACTTTCAATCGAAATTGTCGCTTAACAAATGCGACTAAACATCAACCTGCAAAAGGTTTTTCTTTAGTCACTTTGAGACTCTCATACCTACAAGAATCAGGTGTCAGGTATTGCTGAAGATCAGTATAGAGATTGTATTGTTGTATTGCTGTATTGTGGTATTGTACCGCTGTAACTTTTAGACAATATCATGATAAGATCGTATGATTGATGGTAGTGGTGAATACTAAATTGTATTGATGTGACATGCGTCAAGTGGTATTTTTATCACTGTCTATGCAAGAAAAATCGCGCTAAAATCCGGCTGTAATGTCGTTTTTATCACGAACTTTTTGTATTGATAAACTCTTCCATAAACTTTCTCTAACCTGTTCGTACGTACAGGATTTTATCTTTTATTTCCAAGTCTTTCATCTCTCTTTGATTAATTAATTATTCATCTCTCTATCATCACTTTTGACTTGAAGATTACTAATCAACAATAACAAAATGATGAATGGTGATAATCTGGAACCGACAAATTCATTAGTAGGTCCGATGCTCACGGACCTATACCAGATCACTATGTATAAAATCCGAATCCTTTTTATCCATATTTATGATCAAGATATGTTTTTTTTCACCTCTTTTATCTTGTCTTGGATATTTTTTTATGTTTGTTGTTGTTTTTTACTGTATAGGGTTTATGCATATTGGAAAGTCGGACGTCATGATGATCATGCAGTATTTGATTTATTTTTTCGTAAAAATCCATTCCATGGTGAATATACAGTCTTTGCTGGTCTTGAAGAAGTATTGGCAATGGTCAATACGTTTCAATTTACAAGAAGTGATATCACGTATTTACGTCAAGTCCTTCCTCATGCTGAAGATGGATTTTTTCATTGGTTATCAACACTTGATTGTTCCAGTGTGAAAGTCTATGCAATTAAAGAAGGATCAATTGTATTCCCTCGTATTCCATTAGTCCGGATTGAAGGTAGTTTAGCTGTTGGACAATTATTGGAAACACCATTATTGAATTTACTCAATTTTGCAAGTCTCATTACAACGAATGCGACACGGTTTAAAAGAGCTGCAGGACCTGAGAAAAAACTATTGGAGTTTGGATTACGTCGAGCACAAGGTCCAGATGGTGGACTCAGTGCCTCGAGATATTCATACATGGCTGGCTTTGGAGGCACGAGCAATGTATTGGCTGGTAAACTCCACCAGATTCCAATCATGGGCACACATGCACATGCCTTTGTGCAAGCGCATACGACGCTCGATGATGTGAAAGTCACGACCTTGGATGGCAAGAGTTTTCTTGATGTAGTACTCAAATATCGCAATGAGCTTGGTCATACGCAAACGAACGATGTGAGTCTAGTATCATGACCGTACTAAAGACTCTTCTCGCACCTCTGACAATTTAAATCATGTTTTATTTATTGCAGGGAGAGCTTGCCGCCTTTATTGCCTATGCAATCGCCTTTCCTGATGCATTCTTGGCTCTTGTTGACACTTACGACACGCTATCGGTGCGAAACATCTTGTCCAGCGATGGATTCTAATGAGCATTTTTTTCTCTGACATGTTTTTTTTCATTTGCAGTCTGGTGTGCCGAACTTCATCTGCGTCGCGCTAGCACTGCACGAGCTGGGCCATCGCCCTGTTGGCATTCGACTGGACAGCGGTGATCTGTCTTACCTGTCAAAGCGCTGTCGCGAGGCATTCATAACCGCTGGTGAGTGTCACAGCATCGACTACTTCAAAGAGCTGAACATTACTGCTAGTAACGATATCAATGAAGCAGTGCTCAACTCCCTAAACGAGCAGCGCCATGAGATAAACACGTACGGGATCGGTACGCATTTAGTGACGTGTCAGGCCCAGCCGGCGCTCGGCATGGTATATAAACTCGTAGAGATCAACAGCCAACCGCGTATCAAGCTTTCTCAAGACGTTAGTAAGGTGACAATTCCTGGCCGTAAGGAGGCCTACCGCTTAATCGGTTCAAATGGCAAGCCGCTACTGGATTTAATGACTGGTGTTAATGAGAAAGCACCTGAAGTCGGTATAAAGATGTTGTGCCGGAATCCGTTCGACGAACTCCGACGTGTGTACGTGACGCCATCGCAAGTCATTCCCCTGCACAGTCTGTACTGGGACGGTCCCAACGGGGGCATTGTGGGTGAGCTGCCAACTCTGGAGGAGCGACGTCAGTATGTCACGGAGCAATTTGAGCTGATCCGTGAGGACGTGGTTCGGTCACTCAACCCGACACCATACAAAGTCTCAGTGTCCAATGAACTGTACGAGTTTATTCACGACTTGTGGATGAAGGAATACCCTGTACAGGAGCTCGACTAAGTCCAAAACCTCATGAGCTCAACAAAAACAGATCACGGTGCATTCTGTTTCCAAGAAAAACAGTTGTAGTAAGTGCCCAATTTCAAGACATTTTCTGTGTTGTTGACTTTTTTTCTCTACTCGTTCTTCTTTGTTGACTTGAGCTGCTGTATATACTCTGCTCGTTTCACAACCACGACCATGTCCACCATGTTCTTCATGCTCAAGATCTACAACCGGACACGAAACAACAAAATAACGTCAGAAGGAGCATAGAACATGTGTTTTTGTCATCAATTTGACACACCAATTGAAAAAAACCCGCCGCAAGTAATGGTCCAGCGTAGAAAATACCCATAAACACACCCTGTTCGTCAAAATATTGCTGTGTAGCAACGAGATGCCAGTTTTTTCGTGCCCATTTGTTTAACGCCTCAGTGCTTGCTACCATGACAATGATAAGCATAAATAATGCAAACTGAGGGTATAGACGTTTTCGTATGATCCAAAGTATAATGATTAGCACGATGTGAAAAGACAGGAGCCCTAGGATAAGCGGTTCCGTCCAATTCACAATCTCGTACCATGTGGTCATTTGGTGCGTGTCTGTATACATTGTCAAGAGAGGTTTACAAATGGTCTCCGACGCGCCACTCATACCAAATATTATGTGGACTACATATTTCGATTGACTTTTGTAAGCTTATTTGCTTTACTTTTTTCCTACTGCAGGTGCATCTTAGACCCTTTTCAGTCATCTCCACTCCTCCATCGAGATTTCATCAATCTGCTTTCGTCTTTCGTGTCAATATGCTTTCATTCATCGACAACTCCGACTCAGTTTGTCTGCTATCATTGCAGCCTCAGCTCCTTCAAACTTGATGCTTTAACAATTGATTGTTCAAAGCTTCGCCCACAGCACTTGATCAAAAGGGTCAAGCAGGGCGAGGTGTTGTCTCAAAAGAAAATCTTACTTGATTGTCCCTAAAATTACTTCTTCAAGTAGCCGTTATGTAAGCTAACGATGTTGCTAGCTGCAGAGCTGCAGAGAGGAAGTGGATAGCGCTGGGATTGAAGGATTCTGTCATTATCTTACGTTTCATTTTCTTGCTATCGCTCCTGCCCACTCAATCAAACATCCATCGCTCCTATCCGATCCAATAGCTCTACAAACTCTAGGCCGTCAATCTTTTTATAACCCTGTTTTCGCAGCAATGCCTGTTTCTAACATGACTGCCTGAAGCGGCTTCTTACAATGTGCAGTAACTGTCGAAAGGGTTCAAGCAGCATAATATGTCCGTATGTCAATTCCGCCAGCTCATACCTCATGTCGATCCATCTCTCACTCAAAAACCTATGATAGACGCAGCAAGAGCATAGAGAGGAAAAGGCAGGTACAGGACAAATCAATTGTCAGAAGAGCAGCGCCTAATTGGATAGCAACAATTAATTGGAGATGCTAGAAATACGTCGATTACGCATATAATGATTGCGTGATCAAAGACTGATCTCTAACCCCCAATCGTAACCGACTTTTTTCCAAGTCAACCGAAAGAGCGCAGATTCCAGGCTGACGGTTACACAAGGTGAGAAGGCTGTAAACTACACGAAATCGGGATCAACCTCTGTTATTCAACAGTCTTTACCTGTGATTGTCAAGTCCGGATTACCCAAGAGCTTTGTAATTGCCTCTCCACTACAAAAGCAAGACAGCTTTTCTATAGTTAGATACAAACTATTGGCTAAAGTGACGCTATAATGTCGCTGGAAAGAAAAGAAAAAGACAACTACCTAGAGTGGACGGAATGCCAGTGTCGTAGTTGGCGGCAAAATTTTGGCGTGTCATAGTAAATAACGGAGGCGAAAGGCTAACCTATGAAATTGCTAGTGACTATAGATCAAAATCTAATACTTTGTATCTGATGCGTGCACGCGGATGCACGCATGTAGTAAAGAATTTTCGTAGGCCTTAATATATCCAATAGCACATACGTCTATGCATGCAAACTAAGACTCGATTAATAATACATCACTTCAGTAAAGACTCATGACGCAAGGTCATCGGCTTTATAATAAGAGACTCGATGTCTCACGCTTTGCTTGATATAGTATCAAATGATAAAAGATTAGAATTCAACTTGAAATGGCGCCATGTTAATGGCTATTTGGTAAGCTCAAAGATCAGATTAAATCGGGTAAACGTGGGAAAGGGTTCTAACCCGCATGTAGAGGTTTGAACTCAAATGTCGGTAGCTTGCTCTCAGGATACCAGCTAGCAAAAGACAAAGGTGAGGATTGATTATGCAGAGTGAGGAAGTGGCATTGATACAAAGAGGTAAGGATACGGCAATAGAAGATGGAAGGGGCAAGGTAAAAATTTGTGAGCACAAGTTTATCAATGGCACAGAAATTGCAAGACATCTTGTGCCAAGAAATAGTGAGATTGGATGGCTCGTAGCGATCAACTTAATGCCAATTTTAATTGAAGAGATAGCAATAACGTTGTTAGTGGCAGAACAAAGACATTGGACGTATATGACAGTGGATATGTAGCTCTCAATTGCTAGACAACTTTATTTGCTACAAAGTCCTGGAGTACAACGTCTTAGCGACGCTTTCTTGAAAAGCGCCAGCTTTGCCGGTCGTTTCTACACCCATCTTTGACCGCAAGTACTGTTTGGTCGAGGCATTTTCATTAGCCGCATCCAGGATACTCAAGGCAGATGTAACGGTTCGACACCCTCAAGTGTCATTTCGGAGGCGGTCTCGCTTGAAACGTTACACGTGAGCAACGCAACCACGACGAGCGCCTTTGCGTAGGCGTTGCTGGACTTGATAGGCAACTTCGCCGTGTTTTTCGGCAGCAAAATCGAAAATGATGATGCTGGGAAATCTGGAGTAACACATGAGTCACATGCAGATCCCAAATTGCCTTGGCTGATACATCACTCTACATAATCAGTGGTGCCGAAATGTCAGGTCAATGGTGTTGAGCAGTGATGTTGTACCGACCTGAATTTCAATACGAAGTTATCGACGGGTATTTATAAGAAGTAATTACCTAGAATAAGACAAGCCACATAGATCAGGAACATCAAGCTATCGTTTTTTTTGTGATAAGACCTTCTCATTTATATTTTCAGTTTTTTTATGTTTTCAATCACGTCAAAAAGCCGTCTTCATTAAGTAGAAACGCTTGCGACAACCTAATTTTACAAAAGATGTTTAAGTGACAGTGGTTACTGTTGGAAAAGGCAGTTGAGCACTTGACGGTTAAATGCAAAGTGAACATATTTAGGTCCTTAGCTCGCAACTCGTCTTGCTACTCTAAGCCTACTAGATTCTTCGACTATCCAACAGTAATCGACACTACGCGCATTAATCGTTGTGTAGTCGCGTATGAGTAATCAACTCTATACACATGACTCATGGGATAGCCGCACATGAGTAATTTACTATACACATGACTCATAAGATAGTCGCTCATGAGTAATCCACGCTAGTGGTATTACTCATGGGATAGGCGCACAACTAACCACCAGACCGTACCCTTAGTGTATCGTTTTCTGGCCGAGGCACAACTTCAACAACAGTTACGTGGTACTGACCCTGGAGGTTCGGATGAAGTCAAAAATGATGGTTGTTTGTAATAATAACAAGGTAGAAGCACCTAGTGACGTGGCATTGAAATAAAAGTGTGGGATGCAGTTAGTAAACGAGGTGTCTTTGACCTTGAAGTGTGTACACCTGTGGAAACTGATACGTCGGATGCTGAGAGCATCATGAGTAGCGATGATAATGTCGTGGGTGACGGTGAAAGCGATTAGCGATATACACTCGTCAATGGTTTGACTGAAGAGTGGATCTTTTAGCTATACCCGCAATAACTGCTTTGTTAGAGCTGGACGAGTTGTCCTTTGCCGAGTTTGGCATTGCCTTACAGGCAGGCGACATCGCCGAAGTGGTCGTTATACGACCTGAGGAGGAGTTATACTCCTCTTTGCTATTTGATAAATCAGTTCTTGAAGACACCAAGAAGGCGCTAAATGCGCGTAGTGGATCACAGATCCTGAAGGACCCATCGGATCCTAACTTTTCTTTGTTGAAGGAATATGGATATATTATCTCCAGATAACCTCCGACGAAGGCACCTCCGGATAGAGATATACGTCATGAAATTGACTTAGTTCCAGGGATCAAATACTGTGGGACGCGACAGTGGCCGCTGCCACGAGAACAATGTGACGTCATTGACGAGTTTTTATGTGCAAAGCAGGCGACTGGCATGGTGCGTGCGAGTAAGTCTCCTCACTCTACGCCCACGTTTTGCGTGAGAAAGTCTAATGGGGAGTGGCGAATAGTGCATGCTTACAGTAAGCTGAATGCAGCCACTATCCCGGCTCAAACGCCGAATCCTCGCAAGGATGAGGATGATCTTCAGAACAATATGGTGGGATGCGCAATGTACAGTGCTCTCGACTCAGTCGATGGATATTACCAACTGCTTATGAGATCTAGTGATATCCCACTGACAGCGGTCAGTACTCTGAGTGGTATGCTCTGGGTGTGGTTAGTGATGGCCCAAGGGCTGTCTAACGCACCTGCAACGTTCAATCGTCTATTGAAGCAATTGTTTCGGCCCCATAGGGCGTATGCACAGACATACTTTGACGATATATTCGTTCATAGTCGAGCCGAAAATGGCAAGACTGATGTTGAGGACCACATCAAGCACCTGCGAGCTGTGCTCGGTTGCATGAGGATGCATAAGTCATATGCCAATATTGACATGCATCTTCGGTGCGAAAGAGATTCCTGGGGGGGGGGGGGGGGGGGGGGGAGGGAGAAGGGGGGGGGGAAGAAGAAAGAAGGGGGGGGGGGGAAAAAAAGGGGGGGGAAAAAAGGGGGGGGAAGGGGGTGGAAAACAGGTTTAATCGCTTCTCGATATGCCTAATCCTTATCGCCCGTTTAGCGCCGTATGTGACGCCTTGAACTTTGCCATTGGCAGTGCACTCTTGTAAGTCGACTGTGAGGGTCGAGAACGCGTCATCGCGTTTGAGTCGCACCAGCTGAAAGCTGCAGAAAAGATCTACCCAGTTCATGACAAAGAGCTACTTGCTATGAAGTATGTCCTTTTTAAGTTCAGTGTACACCTGTTGGGCTCAAAGCCGTTTGTGAATTATACAGATCATGCGTCGTTACGCGCAGCGACACAGTCGCCTCATCTCTCGCAGATAATGGATCGTTAGCTTTCCTTTTTTGCGGAGTATAACTTTGAGGTGAAGCATAAGCCGGCCAAACAGAATGTTTTGGCTGACGCGTTATTGCGTAGACCTGACTATGAGCTTGCTCATCTCACTGTTGTGAGTTCGTCAGTCACGGATCGTATCCGTGTGGCGTATGTACGCGATTATGCATGTGTTTTCATTTTGCAGGAGCTGGGTAGCGCGG